CCGAGGATGCGTCATATTATTTTCTTTTTTTTTTTGTTTAATCCTGACTCATTATTCTCTTCCCTCCTATAGTTATTATCATGTTCTTTGTTGATTCATGGTGAGGTTGATTCTCCGAGGCTCTTGCATTGGCGTCAACTGCTGGAGTAATTGATCCCACATACTCTTAACCATGACCTCCCGAACATTCAACTGGTCTCGGACAGCCAAATCCTCATTGGTCAAGGTAACCAAACCCGATATACCCCGGCCAATGTTGAGTATACTTATTGACTAAAAATTTGAAGCAACATCTAGTTCGTCCTAGTGATCCGATTGCGGCGCGCCCGACACAGGCGCAGAATGTCCGAGCCCAGCAAGTCGCCGAGTTCTCGGGCAGCAGCGAAAGGCAAGATCGTCTCGGCCACCGCGCAAAGCAGAAATTGCTGGATCGGGTAGGTATCAGGTAACTCTTCTTTTTTTCTCATGCTAACGGTTGCGTGTTCGGCTTAGGAATTCTTTCTCAGCCTCCTGAACTCCGCATCGACTAAGCGCGAAGCTAAGTCGTACCTAGCTCGGCTAAAGGCTAGCCCTGCCAAACCAAGCCAAGAATCCCACGACTCCCCGAAGGAGTCCATATCAGCATCTCTGCCCTCTGGGGTCAATTTGGGGTCGTTCTATGGTGCTTCCAGGGCGGTGTACGACAGTCCTGTCTTCCGGCAAGATACAACTCCCACTCCGCGTGCGCAGGATACACCCGAAAGGTTGCACTTAGCCCTGATCAAAATCACCACTCCGCAATTACTAGATGATATCGTGATCAATGGAGTGGCCAAGACACTGTCGCAGCTCGTCCGCCTGGGCATGGCATGCTGCGTGGTTGTCGACCCCGGAAAGGTGGATGGCCCTGCAGGGCGACAAACAGCCATTGAACAGGCGAATCGGATATCCGCGGCAGTTGATGGGCAGCCAGACTCGAAATCCTTCCGACTAGACTCGGTGCTATCCATATCAGAGCGGGGGTCGGGTCCGCCCACGGTGCTATCGCGAAAAGTGCTTTTGAGCGCTCTTCGGGACGGTCATGTGGTACTTATTCCCCCAATCGCTTATATGGAGGAAAACCCCCGAGCTGTCACAATTTCAGCTAACGATGCTGCCTTGGCCCTAACAAAAGAATTTGCAGGATTGTCATTAAATCCAGACCCGGACGAAGACCCAGCAGTGACGGCCAAGAGAATCCGTACTCTACAAAGGGAGGTCTCACTGGATCGTGTCATTGTCCTCGACCCGCTGGGGGAATCCCGGCATTCAAGGGCCCTCAGTCATCGCACGTTTTTATCAACATGGAGCAAGAGTTTGATCAAATTAAAAACGAGCTTTCCCAGGCACGAAACTCTGTTTCCGGAAACAATGATTCTTCAAAACAAGCACTAAGCACTAACCCAATCTTGGAAACAAATCCGATGTCAAAGTTTGTCAACCGTGAGATTGTCTCACCTGAGCAACCTACCACGTCCGGTCAATCACCGGGTGCCGAGGTGATGGAGGAGGTGCTAGATGGTCATTTACAGAATCTCCGATTAGCCCAACAAGCATTGGCCATGCTACCATCTGCCTCCTCGGGCATCATTACCTCCCCACAAGAAGTTTCCCACTCAGCCCGTTCACCGCAACAGGCTGCCTCAGACCTGTCAGCGGTCGGAACCCGTCGACAGCGCAACCCGTTGATCCACCACCTCCTCACCGACAAGCCTCTTCTATCATCCTCTCTACCCCCAGGTCGACGGGGTTCTTCCAGTGGTGGTGGATTATTCAGCCCGATCACCTCCCACACGACCTTCGTCAAACGCGGAATGCCGCTTACAATCCTCCCAAACCCCTACACAAAACCCTGGACAGCCCAGATCCAACCACGACTGGGATTGAACGACCCTTCCATCGATCTTCCCCGCCTAGTCACCTTAATTGAAGACTCCTTTGACCGCAAACTCGACGTCCAAAACTACCTCGACCGAGTGAACAATCGTATCGCCGGTGTCATCGTTGCCGGCGAGTATGAAGGCGGCGCAATCCTCACCTGGGAAACGCCGCCGGGCGTCCCAGACGACGGAAGTGAAGCCAGCGCTGCCCGAATGGTGCCCTATCTGGATAAATTTGCCGTGCTCAAGCGCAGCCAGGGCGCCGGCGGTGTCGCGGATATTGTGTTCAATGCGATGGTGCGCACATGTTTCCCCAATGGAGTCTGTTGGCGTAGTCGCATCGACAATCCGGTTAATAAATGGTACTTTGAGCGGTCTTCAGGTACCTGGAAGCTGGCTGATAGCAACTGGGCGATGTTCTGGACGACGCCTGGGCTGGTGGAGGACACTCAGCGCTTCCAGGACTATGAGGCTGTTTGTCGGTCTATTCAGCCTAGTTGGGCTGATAAGAAAAGTGTCATTGACTGACATATGTATGTATATAGAAAGGAACATTGATGTCAAGTAACATCAGCCGTTTCCCTCTTTGTCTAGAGATAAGCATATACCCACCTCCCGCTCACAAGGAACATGGACATAATCTTAGCTTAGCTGTACGAAAGATCAAATTCGGCGGGATCTGCCATCAATCTGATAGTTCATCATCATCATCGCAGTCTGTCGCCTGCCGTGAAGCATTGCATTCCATGCACTTCGCTGGATTCGTGGGATGATTGATATGTGCATGGAAAATAGCAATTTTTGTTCATATTGTTGACGGCTGGCAAACCTGACTCATGTAGTATATAAATCACCCAAGATAATCACAAAGCATCTATCGTCAGGTAAGAAATCGTGTTGCTTTTAATCTGCCCCTTACTTTTTATATTTGTTTGCCCACATCATTTCACCACCATGGGCGTGGTCAATTTTGTCGCCCCCATTGTCTTTCCTCTGAGCAGCGTAATCCACATATATCACACGGGCATTATGGCATGGAATGGCTGCCTTGTGTTTTGGCCTACCATGATAGCTTTTGGATTGCAAGTCAATATTGACACCTGGTATATGTGTAAGAATCTAGAAGATAGGCGTCATCTTCCCTAGGAACCAAGGTGTTACCGGCGTCGCTTGTTCCAGAAATATTGTCAGGGCAGCTCCGATTTCCTAACTCGCCGAAGCAGATTGGATACTATGATGACTGGCAACTAGCATGGGCGTTGTAGCTCAATTATTACGGTCGAGGAAGAGGGGAGAAAAATTTCTGTTGATATGTTAGGGAAGTAGCATAGAAAAGGCTATGGAATGTATTAAGTGGTGAGATTTTGAGAAAGAGAGGTATAATATGCATTAATTTCTCCTTCATAAGCTATATGTTTGAATATACAACCTAGTATATGAGATCGTGAAGTACAATATGATGATATTATGTAGTGCAGAGAGATATATAGCAGAAGGGGAAAGAAGACTAGAGTATATTACCTTCATAGGCTGCTTATGCTAAGAAGCAACCTCAATTCGTCATACAACTACAGTATACCTTTGATGTCTATTTCCCAAATCCACAATCTATTCCCCGTATCCCCTAGGAGGGTATGATGGCGAATCAAAGAAGCCAGGTAGTAATGGAAACATTTCGTTATTACTATCATGGATCAAATGAACCACCAATATCTATTCTTAAAACCCAGGCATTCGTTGTAAAAACTCTCAAACGTTGTGGATTCTTCATCTTCCAATTATATGTCCTCTGTTTATGCCGAGCCTCAACAATCTCATTCCGCCACACCTCGCCAATTACATCTAGTGGATCCATAATAATGTGGAAAGTTTGGAGATCTTGGATGATTAAACAGTGAATAAGATGAAAGGAAAATATCAGTTGAAAGTACAACAATATACTCTTTTGACGCTAGAAACAGCAAAGTGTCTCTGAAGATAGTATCAATGTGGTGCAGCTCCCTTGAACTGGCCCAGAGCAGGAAGAGTGCTCACAGGATTTTGGCCGAGCCGTGAGAGTATCCCGATTGGCGTTTTTACGAATCCCGATACCGGGGATCTTCTGCTATTCCCGATCTGCCGTTCGGTCAAGTTTCGGTATAATTATAGCCTTGGTATCCCATCCTGGTATCTTGGCTCGACGTACATGTTCTTGGCGCACGAAACCTTGGCCAACAGCCAAGGCCAGAGAGGCGGTGCCAGTAGAAGTAAAATATGGATAAGAACAAGACAGTTACTTTGAAACAATATAATCCTATTGAAAGGAGTTTACATATATTGCAAGTGAAAATGTAGTCAAAATAGAAGGGAGAGAAAACTACAGATGGGTGGAGTACATATAGGGAGACTTGTGGGGTTGTAAACCCTAAAACCCTGAATTACCCCGATTACCCCAGTTTCCTTGCAGAAATGCTTGCACCACGGTTTGACTAGACTGCACCGACGGAGAAAATTTGAAAAAATGTCGGTGGTATTCTTTGAATTGTCCTTGGCAGCGGCCTGATCACATTGACCGGAACTTTACTGTCGTTTGTGGGCTTGTGGTCCGATCTGCCCTTAGCTACCATTGTCTCTATATCGGTCGAAGCGTTTTAGAATGAGATAAAGCTCGAATTCATGATCGAACACCTCTACAAAAAGTGTGCCTCTGTCCAGGTCCACGGGTGTCAAAATATCTTAAGTACACCCCCGCATATAAAATTCCTCTGCAAGTGCACAAACAATAAAGAGCGACCCACCCGACGCCCAAATATGCCTTGGCCTACACGTTGACTGGAGAAAAGGGGAGGGCCAAGGGCCTTATCAAAAAGATAGTTTGAAGATGCTCGACCGTGGCCCGCCTACCCCATGGAGACTTTCCCCCGACATGCGGGATTCCAAGCTGTTGGTTTGGTTTGGCAACAATTGAACTTTGCCTCCATCAGAAAGATATAAAAAGTCGTTCCCCGGTAAACCGAATGATTCAATTATCCCGAACTGTTTGTTTTTTCTCTGTGGGCCCCTGCATTCATTGGGTTTACTGTTCTTTATTACCTTCTCAAACCAAATTTGGTTTTACCCAAAATGGCCGGTCTTCATCTCAACATCGACTGGAAGTCGAATCGGCGGGCCATCGCCTACTGTCTAGTGGCTGCCATCGGTGCTCTTTGTTACGGTTACGATACGATCTACTATACCGGAATTCAGGGCATGCCATGGTTTGCCAAGGACTACGGGGAACAGAACGCAGATGGCTCCTACTCGCTGGGGACATCGTTCCTATCGCTATCTGCTAGCATCATCTATGTGGGAGAGTTAGTCGGAGCTCTTGCTGCCGCTCCCATCAATGACTTTTTCGGCCGGCGTGCTGTGTTTCTGTCGGCCTCTCTTTGTATCGTTATCGGAGCCATCGTGCAAGTGTGCTCCTTTGGCTCTGATCCAGTATTTTGTGTCAGTCGTGTTTTGATTGGTCTAGGTGTCGGGCAGTTCACTGCGACTTGTCTGATGTACATCGGAGAGGTCGCACCGTCCGCCATCAGAGGTCCGGCTCTCATGTGCTTCCAGTTCATGCAGTCTGTCTCGCAGTTAGTCGGAGCCTGTGTCAACCAAGGCACGCAGAGCATTTCCAGTGCTCAATCTTATCGCATTCCTATGTGCCTACTGGTTGTCCTCCCCGGTATCATGCTTCTGTGCCTTCCTTTCACACCCGAAAGCCCAGTGTGGTATATGTACAAAGGCAAACGCGATAAGGCCATCAAGGCCCTCCGCAAAATCAACCACAGCTTTCGTGACTATGATCCCTCGGCGGACATCCAAGCAATCGACGACCAAGTCCAAATGGAACGTGAAATGGCGAAAGATGCTACCTGGATGTCGCTCATTATGGATCCCGTTGAGCGCCGTAAGCTCTTCTACGCCTGCGGCGCCATGTTCGTGCAGCAAATCAACGGTATCCAGTTCTGGTACACATACGGCGTTGTATTTGCGCAGTCGATTGGCGTCTCCGACCCCTTCACTATAAACACCATTATCTACGTTCTACAAATAATTACCGTCGGTGTTGCAGTTGTCCTCGGAAACAAGATCAAGCGCCGCACGAACCTCCTCATCTGCTCGGGGGGGTATCTTTGTCTCCCTCATCGCCGTCGGCGGCCTGGGCACCACCCGGTCTCCAGACGGCACGTTCAGTCGTGGCATCGGCATCGGTATCGTGGTTCTCGCCTATATCAACATTATCTTCTACAATTTCTCCATCGGCACGCTTTCGTACTCCATCGCATCGGAGATGTCCGTTGGCCGCAACAGAAACAAGATCACCTCGTGCGCCATGGCCGTATTCTTTCTTACAGTCTGGCTCATGGTCTTCACCAGTCCTTACATGTACTACACGGCCAATTTAGGTCCAATGATTGGTTTCGTCTATGGAGGAACAACCCTATTTTTACTGGCTTACTCGTGGTTCTGTGTTGGTGAGACCGCGGGTCGGACCAATGCGGAAATTGAGAGACTCTTCCAAGACAAAGTTCCTGTTCGCCAGTGGGCAACATATGTGATTCCTTCCGATGATGTGGTAGTTATGAAGAAGCAGGGTACCGAGGATGAGCAGATTGAGATGGCGTGAGTTGTATCACATCAATCCACTTAAATATAAATATATGCCTATGCAGACCGCGTATACTACAAGAATGAAATATTTGAATAATATACTATGGAGCAGTACACTAAACAGTACGTAAAACCTTGGAATCTTGGGGTGGATCTTGCGTAAAAGAGGAATACTTTGGTGTATATTGTGAAACTGTCTAACATCTTGATACTTGAAATTGAAGCTATAAATATAGCTTCTATATATCTATAAGAGATAGAAATAGAAAGAAGATACTGAATGAGCAGTGAAAGCGTTAAACGCTGGATCCTCCCTGATTTGGAGAGAGAGCGACCGAGCCTAAGTGCTAGTTATAATTTATTACTTGTAAGTTTTTAGGTGATCTGTTTGGCTTCCGGAAATGTAGATTCCGTCCTATTTATAAGAAATAGAAAGCCTAAGTTCACTCCATATTTTTACCTCAATCTTTATGGAACTTTATACGACGAGATTTATTTAACTCTATTCTCTATAGTCTTTCGCACGATCCAAAAACCAATCCAGACTTGGTTGGGTCTAGGTCGAAAGCTTAACTATAACCTAGGCCTAAGCTAGATTTAATGACTAATAAAATCACTGTCCCAACAGTATCCTGCTTTCTACTATGTATGTCACCATTGTATTCGAAAATATGCAATATCCCAAATTGTATATATTAACAAGTCAGCCAAAAAAGTCCTTCTGACCCTTCAATGCTTTCGCTAAGATTTCCGGGTACCATCGCGCTCCAACGTCCTGGTGGCTGGTCACCCGAGCAATGAAGGTGCCCTGGCCAATGCTCCCACGGAATATCTCGTTAAAAGTTGCCTCTGCATCTGATTTGACCCTGTCGTTTTTCACCAAGTCACGGATATGATCTGGGATCTCCAAAGAGATCTTATCGGCAGAAAGATCCAGACTCACTCCCTGGAACACAGGGAAGGAAAATCTAGGTCCTAAGCTGTCGCCCTGGAAGTTCTCCGGCCGTAAGCTTACACGGTGAGTGGTTGCTGTGCAGATTCCTCCGGTCAGCGCCTCCAAGGACCGGCCAATGTTAATGACCAATGTTCCCGGAAGTGGCGGGGCAGGAATCCATGTCCCGCTTTTATTTTGGACCTCGAGGCCATGGTGGGGAGTACCTTGCAAGAGGAATGTAAGGAATCCAGAATCTTTATGAGGACCAACACCTTGAAACCCAGACTCTTCATTGCTAGCTCCAAGTGGGGGAGGGTATTTGATCAACTTCAGTTTATGTTGCTGCGGGTTGTCAAAGACCTGCTCGAATGCAGTTGGCGGGAGATCTAATGCCTCCGCAATCAACCCTGGGAACAATTCTGCCAGGCTGCTCACTTCCGACAGATATGTGTCGAATGATTGACGAAATCCGGGGATTGCCGTTTCATCGGGCCACTGACAGGAAATTTCTTCATAAGCATTGACAGAAACGGAGACGGAAATATAAGATCTTACCTGGTTAGGACCAACCACATTCCTATACAAAGGCTCGTCTGGACCAGGTGCGGGGAGCTCGGTTGCAAACTGATAAGGGTGTTGGTAGATATGTCAAAAAAAAAAAAAAAAAAAAAAAACCATACTAAAGCTGGAGCTTACATCAAATTGTTCACGATAATCAGGCTTTAAAGCCGTAATTTCTGCACCAAGTCTTGAGTAGCCCAAGAAGTGCGGGCTATTGACCATTTCGATCTCAAGCTTTTTCTCTAGTGGGAGTTCAAAAAGGCCTAGGGCCTTTTCTATAAACTGCTCTTGGCTTTGAGCCGAAATAGGAGCATTTCGGAGATAAAAAAAGCCGACATTCACAAGGGCTTCGCGAAGGTTTGCGAGAAAGGTGGGTTTAGATGGGGATAGTGCCTGAGAGAAATCCAGCACAGGAATCGAAGTGAAAGATGAACCCGACTTGGAAGATCAGCGCAATTCCAAGTACATGGGAGGTAATAGATCATACCATTTTTCGAGATGAGAATCAAACATAGAGATGAAGTGCGATGATTTCAGAGTCAAAGTAAGAATAAAAACAATCAAGGTCTCTTTGATTGGACTGTGATGGCGAATAATGGCGAATGTGGTTGTTCTGATCGAAGACCCCGCACTTCGTACACCACTAAAATATTATGTATTTATATGTATTTGGTTGAAGCCAGCAATCCATTCATTGCATGTTTTTATTCAGAGGTGTAAGAACGTAACCTCCCCTGCCAAGGATCCAAGGCCATAGACACCCTCCTTTATCGCAGCTTGAATATTAAGACTTCTTCTCCCCGCTAGTAGTCTCATCAGTTATAAAATAGAAAGAGAGAAACCAGTGCATATCGATATATGAAGTGAGATCTACGGAATTATTTGTAGATTCACAGAGTGTATGCAAGAATAGAAGATGAGTATGCCCATAAGGGTTGGATGCTTATGCATAAAATAACTAGTCATGGCTGATAGATGTAATGCCATTTATGCAGCTTTTATGCACAGGCTTATCCTTCATGTCACAAATATACAAGGAGTGCGATGAAGAATGCTATACAATGTTAAACAAAGAATGTTAATATAGAGAACCGCCGTGTGAGTGCAAAGAGGTCGATAGTTACTGTTGTCTTCGTGCGTTCATGCCTTGATGCCTAATTTTGAAGGTGTCAGTTTATGTCTGAGGCAAGAATAATCTTATACTCGCTGACGTCACGATATACAATATCTCACCGTTATAGTAGACCCACCCTAGTAGATCGAGAACATCAATATGATCTCAGATATGAGCCTATATTGGAGCAGTATGCCAATGAAGATGCATTTGTGAACAGCCCTGCCGGGACAAACCCACATTTAGGATAATGCGAGCGCGGTAATGACGATAGCATTATATGTTAAAGCGAATCATCATTCCAAGATTCGCAAAGCGTCACACAAAATGTGGAGTACGTTGTAATGGATTTTCGATTGGAAAGATTCCCGAGGTCGATGAGGCTCTATAAAAGGGTAGTTCATTCGGGTTTACTCCTTCCTCCATTATAACAATCCCTCTACGTTCCTATATCACGTTTCTATACCACCATCACCAATATCTCCCACAATGGACAAACTCTCCAATCTCGCCAACAAGCTCGGAGGCAACAAGGGTCAAGAATACCTTGACAAAGGTAAGATTCAGTGTTTATAATCTCGCGCATTGGACTCCCGTTAACAGCACCAGGTATCCACGCGGCGGAGGATAAGATCGGCGGCGGTAACAAGGGTGACGCTACGAAGAAGGCCACCGATGCTGGCCGTGAACAGTTGGAGAAGGCTGGGTATGATTTTCTAACTTGAACAATAAATGGAACGATGTCGCTAATTGCATATACAGAAAGGGTCTCCCCGACAAGTTCTCACACTAGATACATGACCTAACAGAACATACCCTTCCGCTCATGTACCTAAATTATACGACAATAAATAACTAATATCCCAGTGGACATCAAATATCGTAGAAAAGCACCGTCAATATCGCTGCAAGTTGGACAAAAATCCTCCTATTCCCGACCCTAGGCCCCGGCGGGTGTACATGGTATTCGCCCTACATAGTTGGAGATGGTTGTTGACGCGTTCGGTCGCTTTGGAGTCAGTCCTGGTCGAACACGCCACAATGCGCTCATAGTACTGCTGGGCAGGTTCGTACTCCTTGGCGTTGAAGTGTAAATTACCCAGCAACTCCAATGTGCTTTGAGTTTCGATGTTGTCTTTGCCCTTGCGATGCTCAACCCAGTTCAGATATCGTATCAACCAGGGGAAGGCTTCCGCAGCACGATTGTTGGTGAGTATACCTTGAATATAGCCGTTTTGCAGAGCGTACATGACGCCAATGTTGCCCACGATGTCCATCGTTAGCGGGTGATCGGGCCCTAACGCTTCTTCTGCACTGGCCAAAGCCCGTCGCAGCGTCTCCGAGGCCTCCGTACTCTGCTGCATAAGGCTTTGTGCCCGGCCGTGGAGACAGAGAGCGCGGATAGTAGACGGGTGTGCATGGCCCAATGCAGTCCGAAGCTCTTGGTAGACCTGTAACAACATTTCCACCGCTTGTTGGACATCAGGCTGAAAACGCATAACAATTAGGGTATTTGCGTCCCCAGATTGGGTACTAATAATGTATTCCAAAGTGTCCAATACAGAGCCGAAGACACGAATGTGGGTTTCTCCAAGCAGACGCTTCAGGGTGTCTGTTAGCTTTTCTGCAGTCATCACGGCATTTTGCCGGCGACCCAGCGCATTGTAGGTAATCCCTAGTCGACGCCGAGTTTCACAGGTATCCAAATGGTCTTCGCCGATATTCATTTGCTGGCGGGCTAACACGTTGGCGCAGACCGACTCGGCTTCTTGATACTTGCCCTGTTGACACAGCACCTCTGCGGCCAAACTTTCCGTTTTCATTGTCAGGGGATGCTTTGTCCCAAAGACGCGTTGAGCGTTTTCAGACACCCATTGACACCATTCATTTGCCTTGTCCAAGTAGCTGGTTTCCAGTTCCACTTCAGCCAGGTGATATGCCACTGATAGTGTACTAAAATGATCTGGACCAAGGCTGCGCAAATGCTCCTGGAAAATCTCATATTCGACAGTTCGAGCTTCGTCCCATCGAGCCCCATTCTTCAGTTCTGCAGCACGAAGAGATCGTGGGTCGGTATCCAGAGCATTGAAAATCACTCCTGTCACCCTCTGCGCCGGATATGAGCGACCCGGCACCTGGTATGGCGTGCTGCTATTAGAATGAATGCGTGGGGGCACGGGCGGTGGAGATGATGCAGTACTTGGAGGCATTTGTGGAACAAAGCCTTGCTCCGACAAAAGCGCCTGATCGACTAATTGTTTGATATTTCCTTTTATCAAACGGTACATAGGACCCCGAGCGCCAACCTTACACATCTGTGAGTGATCTGCGTCGAGCTTGAGTTGAGTTTCCCGTAAACCAGACAATCCAAGAACCGCAGACTCTTCATCAACCACAAGCTTTATAATGTCAGCCTAAGCCCTAGCTAATAAAGGGTCTGCTTACATGGCTGATAGATGCTGGTCCAACTCCCCCTATCTGCACCTCCTTCCCTTCGATAAAGCTAACAACACGATAATCCTCGAGTTGGTGTCGAAACCGATCGGTCATTTGCCGAGTAAAGAGTGAATTATGTTCCAGGCAGTCGAGAAGGTCATTGCTGGCATGGCCTTTGGAGACAAAGCGGGCAACGCGGGCTGCAATTTTCCCCAGTTCCACAGCCTTCGCGCCACGATGAGGTGTCCCGAAGAAGACGAGACCAGAAGTTGCCGAACGGATAGAAGTATATTTGGGATCTTCTTTAGCATTGAGAAGTGCCTGTACCAGTAAATAAAGCCCTAGTGAAAAAGGGGATGGGAAATCTGACCTGCTTGATCACTAATCCTCCCAAACTATGTCCGATAAATATCACTTTCGGTGGAAGAGAACCCTATGAAAGGTCAATTCATCACTCAATCAGCGTTTCTGGGTATGGTTTACCATCTGGGGACCGCGTTCCATATCCAATAAATTCAACAGGGTATTCGCGTGGTCCTTGATACTTGCCGTGGACATGGTCTGTGAATGCGTGATATTTGAATTATATCCATAGACAAAGACCCGCGCATACGGAATATCCTCGGCCAGGAAGTCTCTCGGCCAAAATTTGCCGTTGCTATGTGTCCATGTCTGGAAAGGATGATCATTTCGACCGCTTGGGTTCAGGCCATGAACGAAGACAAGACTAAACAGCTTCTTAGAAAAGGATTAGGCGTAGGACTCAGTGTTCATACTCGACCTTGTGTGATTCAAGAGGAGAGAACACCTCCTGCAAGAAGGGAAACTCATATTCCTGGGCTTGTTTAGAGTCTTGCCTTGTCATAGTTAGAACCCAAGGCTTACCATTCTGATTTAAGGGCTACCGTGAAGCTACCGTGAAGGGAGTAAAGAGTCAAGAAGACGGCCTGCAGTTTCATAAAAGATTATAAGTTAAAAAGGAGAGAATGGGATGAAAGCGAATGCGAAGCTGACGGGCTGAACATGTGACTACTCGTCTGATAAGCAGTGCTTAGCGTGAATAAATACATAGTAATCACGATAATTGCCTCAGAGCCAATCACATACGAAATATCGAGTTCGCCAAAAATTGCCTAAACTGTACTGTATTTTGTGGCTTGACGGTGATAGAAGGCGCTGTCAGCGGGGTTATCCGGCGCGATGAATCACACCCGGGCACCCTGGTATTTGTGTATTGTTTCTCTCCCCAAGACCTTTGTTTTTCTTTTCTTACGCCCGATGCCGATCTCCATCTCGCTCAGCCCCCTCTTCCTTCAATGCCAGATTTTGCAAACATGGAGCATAAAACAGTGTTCCGCGCCATGCTCCGTGTGCAGTTCGTGATACAACCAACATCCACAACAGCAAAACAAACCCACTTAAAGTCTTTGGATGTAAGATTAGTAGTGATTCATTTTGGAGAACAGAAAATAAACATACCGTGCCGAACACTTTGAAGAAGATGATGTCCATTTCAACCCCCAATTCAATAGTGTTTGCGGCATACACCCCAAGCGGGAACGTAAATCCCCACCAGCCCATATTGAAAGGAAATGGAGAGCTGTATAGAACTGTAGCTAAAGCAAATACGAGCCAAATCAGGCCGAAGCTCCACATGATGAGGGATATGAAGACACCCAAGACATATGCCATTTGGCCCGCGATAGGGTCCAGGAATTGGGAATCCTGCAACAATATCCGTGCTACCTTCCCAATGTAAAGGATGCTGGCAGCGGATTAGCTAGAGTCTCAGGTCCCCAGGGGAAATCGGTAAAGCACATACCCAAAACCACCAAAGCCAAGAGGCCCTAGGGGTAGAAAGCAGCTCACAATTACTTCCCTCGGTGGAAGCTTATGCACTGCTAGTCGCTGATAATAGATCACCAATACCGCAATAGCCAACGGAGTGCCCATTCCCCAGAGAATAAACGAGACGAGGAGTGTTCCCAGTGCATGTTGTTTGTCTTGTAGGATAATAGCAACCTCTGCGCCAGTACCTGCTGCCACAATGGTTGCTGCGATAGGCAATAATTGAACCGCAGTGATCCGATCTAGGGAGGTAATGTAGCGCTGAGATATTCTGATCATGATGTTAGTATCCTGAAAATTCGCAATTTGCTTGCGTAAGATTGTAGACCGACAAAATAAATGACAGGGACAGAGTCACAGAAGCCGCAGCTACCACGTCTATCATCCATAAAGCCCACGCAACTGTTTTGGCCCATTCGCCCCAGATAGGCACACAAATGAACACCCACATCTCAATGAGTGTAGCAAATCCCATCGGGATTGTGGCCAAGAAGAGCGAATTGGTTGGATCTTGGATCATTACATTCCATATTTCAGGATATAAGGCGTATCGGAGGATAGAAGCAATGGAAGCTAGAGTGAATAACGCGGTATTGAGTAGAAAAAAGATAATCGACAAGTAATGGAGCACTGGAGCATCGAAAGGGATCAATGTCATCAGCACCGAAACAATGCCAGTGCCCATTGTCACAGCAAACCATCTACATGTTTCTATTAGCACAAACCAATAAACTTTGGAGAGGGAAGACCATACGATGGACTAAAATTCCGCACGATGCGTCTCCATCCTACATTGTACTTCACCGGACCCTTGGCGGGTAGTCTAGATGACTTTGCCATAGGCAATGAAATATAATTTTATAAAATGTCAAGAATGGGAGTTGATGAGAAGAGAGACGGAGTCATTTTGTAGATCAACGCCTGGGCCACTATTCGGCCGAGTACGGAAGTCGCCAAGATGGGTGGGTGGGGCTGTCTTCATACTATCTTCATACTATATGTGCACCTACATTGTTCTTTGAACTCCAAAATTCAAGTTTAGTATGCAATTGGATTATAAGATATTGACATGAAGACACCAACTAGACGTCAACTGATCTCAATTTAAACCACTGGCCACCCGCTTGAGAAATCGATCTGATTCCACCCAAACAGTTTTTGCCCATCGGCATAGCCAACAGTGGTATCAACATAGTGGTAGTAAAGCACTGGTCCGAGGGTAGGATCCGTAAATACGCCCCTAGAAAAACGTTAGGCTAATATTCAATTCTTTGGGGGGATTTGAGAACTTACTGTCCACCAGGACCGTAGACTGTGCCATGACTTTCTAGAACGACTGTGCCACCCCCGTTTGTACAAGCAGTCCCTGTAGCATCAACCTTTGATAAAGAGTTAGGGTGAAGTGTCTAAAACAGGAAAGAAGAGTGGGTAGGTAACATACGAATCCGCTAGTAGGCGAGGTCGATCGGCAGACCTTGATTTTGTACTCTGCACCGCTGGCAGGGCGAGATGTATCGTAACCACAACAGATGCCGGCAGAGTAAAAGAGATAGTAATAGCTTCCATACTTATACAGATAGGGCCCCTCCACGGCATGTGTTCCAGAAGGGTCGAATGCCAGATTGTAGGATGAAGATGCGACTTTAGTGGCAGCTGAGTTCATTGGAGCCTGGAAAATATCTTGCCAAAAGGAGCCGAAAGTCATGTAGTAAGTACCACTATCGTTGAGTAGATTGCCATCAATGGCATTGTACGCCTTGCCAGATGATGAGGCAATGCCAGTTGCTCCATGGTCAGTCCAGGAGCCCAACTCCATGGTTGCCGATGTGGCTAGTCCAAGGGCTGAATCCTGTACACCAAACGTCGATACAGAGTAATAAACGTGGTAAACACCATTCACAATCTGCGCATCGGGGGCCTAATATGGAGGTCAGTGCGTTCATTAAGACAAGCCTTGCACTAAGATCATGCGTACCCACAGGTCTGTATTTCCGGCGAGATCAATAGAAGACCCACTGGGCAACATGGACCCAATGGTAGTCCACGGACCGTTGATAGATGAGGCGCTCGCATAAGAAATCTTGTTGCCAGTAGAAAATCGGAAATAACGCTTGTCCGATGATCTCTGTATCAATGACGGGTCATGCACGTTGCAGGCCCCTGAACAACTGCCAGGATTTGCATATCCGTGCACGAGGGCTGCGAACAGCAACGGTTTGACGATATTACCAAAATGCATCGAGGGAATGTTGAACAAAGAGATCGGTCTTGCTTATTAGGCCGCTGGGGGCTTATTTATACATATTATTTGGAGATGCAGGAATTATTGGTGGAAATCCGGGCTTTTACTCCATCGGGAATCTCCTATGCGGATACCCGTCTGATACAAATACATAGAGCTAAAAGGCTGAAACGGAGAAAATCCTTCGGGAAATCAGGTTAGCAGAATTATAGCACCGACTGGTGGGAATTACCAGCTATAAGCGCCACCCAGCCTAATATCACGTCGAAACAAGAGGCTTTTCTTTTTAGTCCGGAAAAAAGTGGAAATATCTAATTTCGAGGGCACAATTTTAACCCGGTCTTCAGGGTGATGGTTTATTATGCATAACAGAATGTTCACAGTAAACCAGCCATAACTCGCGTCAGTGCTTCATCTTCGGCATGAAATGCGTCTAGCGCATTGGGTGACCGTGTATCACCTTGAGGGGTTAACCCCACATCTGCTCCGGCGGGAAGGTCCGAACTGGACTGGGAGTCAAAGTAGAATCCACCCGCAATCTCAAAAAAGCTGCTCAAATCTTCACACACGTTGGGTTCCGGCCCAGCAACTGTACCAGGTGACATTGGCCAGAAAGTGTTGGATGGGGGATGAGATTGGTGGAGGGGAGCACAACGTACAGCAGACTCTATTGATCCCGGCGTTGTATCCCAAATTCCACGGGATGAAAGCGAATCAAGCGTCTCTTTCTCGGCATGAAATGAGTGGCCAGTTTCACTATCCTTGAGATTCAATCGAATCCGTTTCAAAGCGTTAAGAATCTTTTGCAATCTCCGAGAAGTACGTGCACGCGTGGCCGAGCGGCGGACCATGTCCACGGCCGTATAAAATTCGGGCCGGCAAACACGGCTGAAACGCGCCGGGGCATGTAAAACGGCCAAAAAGAGGGCAGCAAGGGCTGATAAGAGAAAATAGTTGAATGGCTCCGGTCGCTGAAAATATATACTTGAAACCCGGCTGAAATAGTCCAGCATATGAACGGTGCTCTTGGCCGTTTCCACAGCGGTCGAGGCACCGGCCACGTTGTCCGCTATGCGCTCATAGCTGAGCAGGTTTTGCCGATACACCAGAATTCGAAGCTGGTTTGCCTGCAGAGCAAGAAAAACCTGGAGCATTATAGCTCGGTCAGTGTGCTCTGATCCAGCGGGGGAACGCCAGGATGGATCGAAACGTAATTCAGGCGGAATGGAATGGACCCATTCCTGAACCTGAGCGTCTAAATAGGCGCAGCCATCTGAGGTAGCAGCTTGTGACCGATTGGGCCATCCAACAACCAGGCCCCAGATCTTTGTGCTTAGCCGTGCATGAGAGATCAGGCAAGTCAGGTACGGGGTAGAGTGTCCCGGCTCGGGTAAGTTGGTATCAATATCGGAATCTTGAATGGAAAAGGGCAAACCTGTGCCAAAGGCACACTTGCGATCTAACACATAAATGCACCAGAACAATCGACTTGCCCATGTCCATTCTAATTCACCCGGGAAAACGCCTCCTGTCTTTTGCCATGTCTCTTGACGATGGAGACCTAGCTCCGTACTCCCCCGAACCGCCATGCTAATTAAACGCCCAGCGATGACTTCATCATCACGGTAAGAGTGAAAAATCGACTACCGTGGTTAGCTTTTTTTTCGCACTGGGTCGGAGGGAGAGGAGGTACACACCAACAGAGTAAGAATGAGAATTTCTTTCATGTCGACCTCGGCAATTTTCATTCGGCTGGCGAATCGATCCTCCACACTGTCAGCCAATTGAGCGGCACGTTCACTGCGACCATGCGATTCGACTAATAGAGCGATCGCCAACAGAATCTTCAGCACCTGGACATCGCGCGCCGAGAACCAATCCTGATCCGAGGCCGTCTGCATCAATGAAGATGAAGAATCATGAGACCGATAGAACTCAAGGACATATGCCCGCACTCCGTCTAAGTCAACACAGGGGTACATCACCCCCACTGTGTCCTCATAAACTTGGACTAATCGCAGGGTTTCATCTACACCCAGGCTTCTCAAAGGATGCCTGAGTGGAGCATTTTCACCCCGTTCCGACGGCACAGGACTAGGAGCAGTTGATAGGTCAAGGTCTTCAGCGGAGTCGTCAATTGTGGGACAGTCGCCAGCTTGGTGGGATAAGGACCTTTGAGCTTGAGTGAGGCCAAACTCCGCGCTCGTCGGCCCAACATACGTCGGGGACTTGGGGGCGCCCAGGATACGGTGTAGGCTCCCTGTGGCGGGTGGGGCCGAAGGACGGGGGGGATTCGAGCTCATGAATACGGCCGGAAAGGGCCTGTATTTCCCGCCGCAGAGTTTCCAATTGCTTGTCCACTGCTTGGAATCGAGCATTTGCTCTAAAAGAGAATCAGTGAGTACACAATGACAACGCTAAAAGACTTCGGAACCCCACCTTTCATCCTTAGGATCGGTCTCTAGGGTCGATACGGAAGGACGATTGGTGGCGTATACACAAGGAACCTGATCACGAGAACATCTCACACAGACCAAACCACCACTGCATTTTAGTTTGCGTCGTTTGCATTCATTGCTGTGGTGGTCAGTACCAAGCGGTAAGAGTACTAAGTACTAGAGACGCACCAAGCAACTTGAGTGTATTTGGCCCTTTTTCTCCGCTGGAACGAATCATCCTCTCGTGAAGATCTCGGAGATTCGGAAATCATTGTATAGATGATGCGACATTGATGGGATGTGTCATAGCAACCAGGAGAGATGGAAAGGAAGAAACCTCGGAACGCGGAAAGATAATCCGAGATGTGCCCTGTTCCGCCGTGGGGTATACGGGGTAATACGGGTCTATGGGAATTGATTGAAATGTTTATGATAGGGAGGAAATTACAGTTGGTAATGACTAGCCTAATGTTCGTTCATCTTTTTATTTCTTTATTGGATAAATTGTGTACGCCAAATTAAAAACATATATATACATTTGGGACCTCTTGGAATAACTATTCTCGATATTTTATACATGTCCGCTCCTAGTGTTGTAGCTAATTTAAAATGTGCAAAATGCGCTATGAATAATATTTGCTGATGTGAAATTCCTATGATACAATGCATATTCTTGGTTCATCCTCGTTCCTATCAGATGTGTGACTTCCGGCAGCATTCCGAGTCAGCTAGCCGTGACGACACATTCTTGTTTGAAGGGACATCAAGCGACGGGTTGGCTGCAAAAAAGTCCGCGGGCCGGATCATGAGCTGGAAAATCTCGACGGGCCTATTATATATAGTCAGTATACCAGAAGGAGAGAAAAGGGGGAAATGCGACATACATCACGGGCCAATCTTCTACGCGAGGATTGTGCGTAATGCCGAAAGAGTTCCACACCACCACGTCGGTGTCAACCACAGAGTCACCCCGGAGAACAGCATCTGAGACACCTTCAACTTCATTTTGGCTCTGTAAAGTATAACGACCTCCAGCATAGAGCTCCCCGTCGCGATACTTCGTGACCCAAACGTGGTGCTGAGCAAATTGAGCTCGGCGGGCTTGTACCGATGCAGGGTCAGCCAGGAGAGTTTGAGTGGCCAGCGGAATGAATTTATATCCCACGGGGTTTCCACTGATGGGATTCTTTATATGAGGATTGATCATCTTGATGGTCCGGTTGAGCTGCGGAGCGGCATCGATCCAAGATGCACGCTCGACGGTCTGCTTGGTGATTTCATAGAAGTTTCCGTTCGGGTTGGTTGCCGCATTCATTGGGACTGGGTGGGATTCCTCCACGACCACGGAGTTGTTGGGGCCATCGATGGCTGGATCAATTCGTATATTGAAAATGTGCTGATGGTTCTGAGCGAGAACACCGCCGCTAACCACATTTCCGTACTCACTGACCTTCCCAGTATCGATATTGACCACGTTCAAGATGCCTGTTGCGCGGGCTTCAACCGTAATACCAGCGGACTGATCGAATTTATATGCGAAAATGTATTCGTAGTTGGCCAGTGTGATGATAAACTGGACAACAAGCTCCCGGTTCCGTGTGACGACAGCGCGTCCGGTGCGCCAGTTGGAGTGTTTCCAGCCAATTCCATTGTCCTGCTCATGGAGACAAATCGCATTTGGAAGGGTCTGGGCCGTACCGTCTGGCTGGGTGATAATGGCATCAAAGTATTTAATGACTCCGAGACAGTCGCAGCCGAGCGAGAGGTTGTTAGCCATATTTCCGCCGCCACCGTCGCCAAAGTCAAAGGCCTGTTTCCGGTGGTAAGGGGGACGGGGATCAGCGTAAGGGACAGTCTGAAAGGAATTAGTTTGTGGGTATATATTTAGGGATTAGGACTTACCATTTCGCTGACGGCTAGTCGGTGCATCACACTGCGACCATCATACATCACATCGTGGATGGTTGCACCCTCTCGTGGGTTGAAAGCAACACGGAACCGCCACTTCTGCCATTCTACCAGAGATTCGTTGGTGACTCGGAAGGAAGGACCCTCAGGTTGGACCACATTCAATGGTTTGAGATCCTGACGGGTACCCTCAGGTAACAGTTCTGGTACGTATTCAGAGGGCTTGCAATGGCCAATGATATCCCGCTTAAAGGTCTGTTCAAGTAGTCCATCACCTTTCCCGCCCGTAGCGGGTCGGTCTACCCGGATGATTTCTTGGGTATGGGCGTCCATAACGGGGATGACGGGCAAGGGGAAAGAATAAAAGTTGGAGTCTTCATTCCCAGAACGTTTGTCCTGAGCGAAACAAAGTCCCTGGAAAAAGCGACGATTTTCGTCGGTGTGGTCCAAGCCACCGTACGGCCATGGCTCAATCACGACCTCAAAGCCTTCTGGAAGGTCGAATTCGGACAATGCTTGTTGGAATAGTGGTGATTTCATACATTGATCAACGAGAACATCGAATTCATTCCTAGTTAAATCGTTAGAAGTAGTTCCTGGATATTCAAGATCGAAGCCATACAAAGTCAAACTGGCATGATGTTCTTTCCCCACAACCGTGTGGTTCACTCGCGATTGTGAAACCACATCGATCACCGATTCGTGAAATTGAGGAATTCGGTCCGTTCCGATCACATCATATTGGCACAGAGCGAGACGCGGGGGTCGTGAGGTGGTCGGGCTCAAGCGACCGGCATGTTCTAACGCCAGAAATTCCAGGAGCTGAGCTTTGGGTGGTTCTTGTAGGAAGATCTCCCGAAAGTCAATCACGACGTTTGGATGAGCAGCCTTGACCACATCACGGGCCAAATTGGTCTCTTCGATGGAGAGAATACTCAGGGGGTGAGAGTGAGCCATGACAGCAATGAACAAAGTTATAGCTTTGGTTGTTATTTTCCCAGTGACAGCCTCGGCCGAACTTATATCAGATGCATGCTCGGAACCTCGGAAATCTCGGAATGAGCTTCCATGCAACTGTGGGGTTACGGAAATGATTCCGTGACGATACATGATAGACAAAGATTACGAAAAGATATCTGAGAAAATGAGGGGAGAAGACTGTCCGTTTGAGAAGATAACCAATACAGTGTTTTCCCCGAAAATATGTGGTTGATAAGTGCGGATCATGGCCGTGTACGAGCATTGACTTTATCGTGTCAATTTACATATAGACCTCGGAAGGACGCCCTGTTTTACCTGAACTTATATCACACCCCGAGGAGTGTGGAGTATGGATTCCATGAGCCATGAAACTAAAATGCCTACAGAGAAACCGATCAGCGATGAAGATCAACTCGTGGCGCTTGGCCATGTCCAAGAGCTCCGTCGCGACTTCTCCCTCTGGTCAATCGTCTGTCTCCAGATCTCTTTGATGGCCACCTGGGAGGCTTTATCCTCGGTTGTCGCTACGGCTCTTACCAATGGTGGAGCGCCATGTTTGTTTTATAACTAGTGAGTTCTCCTCAACGATGCTCTGATATCGGAAGGCTCATCATGTCGCCAATACAGCATCATCACCTTAATTGGTACAATGCTCGTTGTCCTTTCGTTGAGCGAAATTGCCTCTATCTACCCTACTGCTGGTGGTAAGATCAACTCTCCCATGCACCTACCCTCAGACCATTGCTAACAAAAGCTAAAGGACAATACCACTGGGTCCATTGTCTCACACCCGTATCGTACCAGGCCACCGCATCTTGGTTTACCGGTTGGGTTTCCATTGGTGGACAGTTGGTATTTTCCGCCTCTGCAGCCTTCGCTGCAGGTCTCCAGCTGCAGGCCCTCATCACCTTGAACAATCCCAACTCGTATACCCCGACTAGATGGCAGGGGATGCTTTTCTATTGGGCCGTCTTAGCCTACTCAACTGCTGTTAATATTTGGGGCTCTAAGGTGTTGCCTCATACCAATACAACAGCCGGTAAGAGATCTCTCAACCCCTAAAGCAAAGTCGAATCGCACCCTAAAAGGCGAACAGGTGTATTGCACGTCGTTGGCTTTCTGGTGATAGTCACCGTTTTAGGAGCAATGTCCGAGAAGCACTCTGCAAGTTACGTCTTTACCGAATTTTCCAACACCAGTGGATGGGATAACGATGGAGTTTCGTGGTTAGTAGGACTGCTGACCACAATATATCCTTTCCTCGGGTACGATATTCCTATAAGCTTGCGGTAGGTCGAAAGCTAACTATTTATCTTAGATATGATGCGGCGTGCCATTTAAGTGAGGAAATGCCAAAGCCGTCCCGTAATGTACCATTGGCCATGATAGGCAGCGTCTTGATCAACGGAGTGATTGGCCTCGTATATGCGATTGTTCTACTGTTTTCCTTGGGGAATCTAGAATCACTGCTCGAGTCCAAGACGGGGTTCCCCTTCATGCAGTTATTTTTAAACACCACAGGCTCCCCAGCGGGTGCTTCCGTGTTAGCCCTATGCATCACCTTGATCGCGTTGGCTGCCAATGCTGCATGTGTCACATCTACCAGCCGTACAGCCTGGGCATTTGCACGGGACGGTGGTTTACCAGCGTCGCAATTTTTCGCAAAAGTGAGTCCGACGCTGAAAGTCCCGGTGCCTATGGTCCTTGTGGTTGGCGTTCTCCAAATGCTGCTTGGGTTTATCTACCTTGGCAGCTCAACGGCATTTAATGCAGTTTTATCAATGGCAATTCTGGGAATGTATGCCTCGTATATTTCCCCAATTATTTTCATGTTGATATATGGTCGACGGGAATCAGCGCCGATTTTCCGCGGACTTGGCTCGGGATCATTCAACCTAGGCCCACGATGGGGACCCGTCGTGAATATCGCTGCCATCCTTTGGCTCATCATAGGTATGGTTTTTAGCACTTTCCCAACGGTCGAACCGGTTACACCAGAAAATATGAATTATTGTATCGTGGTGACAATGGGATGGATGCTGGTCGGAGGGGTTTATTATTATCTCCTGGGGGGAAAGAAGCAATTTACTGGTCCAGTGGTAGAGTTGGCAGAGGGCCTGTAACTACTTACATTGACTTGAAGGGTGGTCCCATTATCCTTGCCAGGGCTGTTGTGGAGAGCTTGGGGATACAAGGGAGTGAAGTTGAATACACAAGAACGTGGCCTGGTTGGAGTTTCTGCAACCTTTGCTAGGTTAGAAGCACAGCATTCTATCAGCATTCGTTAAACAATAGATATATTCATACCAGATATCGATCCCCTACAACTGCACCAAGCCAGCATTGACATTGAACCTATAATCGAGAGGTTACAGGAGTGAATGTAGCGCCAGTTGGCATACGTGTTGAAACAAACAACTTTTGTATGGCATCTACTTCGACTTTTGAAGCAAGTCCAAGAAATGTTATAACGGTTGACATAATAATTGATATTGACCTCTATTTAATTGGGGGAAACATTCACAGATTATCATAGCTCAGAGCTATATTCTCCGTCATCTTGTTGTGTCATCCAAGAGGATCTCTGGCTTCTCGATATTCCTCCAATTGGGAATGATAAAACCGGTAACAAGATACATCAAAACAACAGAATATTCCATCAGCAGTCCCATAGTCAAGAATGGGGCAATTGGACCTCTCAGATCACTCCACCTCAAGTCGGATGGCTGGAATACGGACAGAAAGAGGTATACGATGCGAACAACTATAAAAGGCGTAGCCAGAGCTGTGGCATTGAGAATCTGAAAAGAGGATGTTAGCCATTGAAAAAAGGTGTAGCCGTATCGGGGTCTGCGAACCGATCTGCTTGTAACTGAAAGGCACGAACGTTGTGTCCAAAAATACACTTGCATGGCCAGTAAACATCCGACAAAGACTACGACAATGATGTACCCGGATTTGACAAGTTTAAGCCCAATGAGTACATCACTGTCGGTGTCGCTCCCTTCCAAAGCCCCACCTGCAACGGTAAGGCCGATCCCGACAATAAAAAGCACTCGGGATACAACTAAACATTGCCGAATTTGTCGGCTCATGTTTTTTTCGAGAGCTACTCTGCAGTGTGTGTTAGGTGTTTGGTCCATAAGGGCATATATTGGCATGACACCAACTCACATGATTCGAATAAAGCCTAAAGTTGCTGCGATCAATGGAAACACGCCAGCATTGAGAAAGATGACGGAAGCTATCATCACGCCGGTACTGGAAGACTTCTCCGAGATAATGACCAAAATTCCAGCAGTGATACGAACTGAAACCGATGAAGTTAGATACAAGCCCTAAAGAAGATCTTGGTAATATACTTACTAAGGGAGAAGAAAGTCAAGATAATCCACGCCATGCGAGGTCGCTTGTGCCGGTAACATGCGAGATAAAGTGCAGTTACCGTGACCGGTATATAGAACACAATCTGTGCAATACTTAATTTTGAATGACTGCCCAACATGTTGACTGTGGAAAAAGAAATTTGGGATAGTACGTCCGAGGTGCTTGTTAAGAAGTAATGGATGAAGATGAGGAATTGGGATGGGAATACCTGGTCCTTTTATAGACCCATTATGTTGATTCTCCTTTAGAGCAACCCGGCTGTGCTGAAATTCTCGTCCACATAGATGCTCTCCAGGGCTCGCAAGTTCAGTACCACTTTGGGTTTAGCGTAGATAACTATTGGGGGATCGACATTTTATTGGTCAACAATGGCCCCACCACCGCCGATCCCCTCTAAAGCCTCAACGAACGCCACTAATCGAAGCAACATTCTGACTCAAAATCAAGAAAAAGCCACAATTAAGCGCTATTAGGGTCTTGATACTTGTCCAATATATTTGAATCTCCAAGTCGGTAATGCAATACCATATAGCGCTTGACCAGCTTATGAAATGGTTGGAGTAGCTGGCAAGTCAAGAGGCTGCAACACCTGTCGGAAAAGGAAGATTGCAGTGAGTGACGCTAGATCCATATATAATGGCCCCGCTGACTTGGTTAGTGTGACCAGCAAAGGCCTTTCTGTGCCAAATGCACAACCACAAACCGAGTATGTGGCGGGTACCAGAAAGACACGGTATTCGTGTTGGTTCAACCAGCCGCTAAGAAAACACATACATTTCTCAGAGCCTCTGCTTCTCCACAAAGTAGTACTGAAAGTACAGAGTTGGAGCCCGCTATTTCCAGTCCAGCCACTGTGGCTCGGGGTAAGGAATCCACCCATTCTTTCACCGAGACAAGCTTTGCCTATTCGATAATGCATAAACGCATCGAGTACCAAAACTTGATTCAAGCCTTCCTGTTGAACTGTTTCCCATTCAATTGGCCCCCAACATCTCAATCCTGGATTCCCTTGCTTGCGGAGTTACCTACCAAAATTCAAGCCTTGGAAATGTCAAGCGCGGCAGTCGCAGCCTCGGCGATGGGACACATGCTTAACGATCAAGCTCTAGTCAAGCAAGGCTTGGACTACTATATCCAGGGCCTCCAACACCTCCAAAAAGCATTATACGATCCCAGCCTCATGCGAGAAGATGGAACCCTGGCCGCGTGCATGGCACTCAGTCTGTATGAGGCCCTTGAATGCCCCAATCTGGGGTCCGAAGGCTATTTTAATCATTGTCGTGGTATCATCGCTTTGATTCAATCCCGCGGTCATGAGATGCATTCTTCAGGGGTGGGACATCGGTTATTCCTTGGTGTTCGACTCCCAGGGGTAGGTCAAACCCGAAAAGTCCGGGAGCCTTGTTTATTTATTGATCACCTTTTTAGATTCTGTTCTCCTTGAATCACCATACCTCGACTATTTTCTTCGAGTCCACTTGGATGGAACAACCTTGGGCTGGAATACCGAAAACATCTCATGATCAGGTAACAGACTGCCTCGCCCAAGCCCCTGTGATTCTAGAACGTGTGCGATCATTGCCATATCTCCCTAAATCACAGCAAGTCGATTTACTCCAACGATTGATTTGCGAATGCTGGCGAATTGATAACCAGTTGGATGTTATCTATGATGAAATGCGATCACAGGACCTATACTGGCCGGTGCCGTCACAAACACCCCTGTTTTCGGATTTGTTCCCTGTCGTTTTCTGTTTCCGAGACGCCCAGGTCGCTGCTACACTGGTGCTCCTGTGGGCAACGCGAACAATGCTTTGGTCGGGTCTTTCCAATATGTACCAATACTTGGAAAGTATCACCCCTGAGAACTCGTGTCGCGTAGCTGAGTCCGATCAAGGTTCGGTTTTGGAATTTGAGGGTACTGATCGCTGTGGAGGCTACCTATCCGCGGCGCATCGGGTCTGCCAATCCGTGGAATACTTTTTGAGAGATGACATGCTGCTAGCTGGGCCATTATCTGTTAGTCCCTCGCTTGGAATTGTGCTTGATAGCTTACGGAATCGGTCTGGTCATGGGCGTGAAATTGCGTGGATTCAATCGGCTCTGGAGGTAGTTCGTCGAAAAGGACTCCGTGTTGTCCAAGATGTGAATTTATAATTTAACCATCAAGTAGATGGGCAAGTAATGAGATTCAAACATGCAAGTCTGTAATCGTATGCCTCGCTATTTTCGCCCACATAAAAGTTGATTTTTGAGAAATCTCGAGGGCATCGTACGATGTACGATTTCAGTTAGCTCGGGCTCCAGGGGTAAGATTGAAGTACAAAGCCGCCTAGTTCCCATTTACACGTACATTGTTGAATATTCCTTCCTTTAACTAACTGTGCCTACTCACATGCAGTATTCATTCACCTTGCAATACTTCAACAGTGAATAGTAAGTATCTGATCAGACTCGCAACAAATGTCGAAGACCCATAGCCAAATTCTGACCGGCTTTCTCCGATCTAAAAGATAACAATAGCATAGTATGCATACTATTGGACCATACCGATTCTCGGTCTGGATTAGTGAAGTTCTAACCGTTTTCGGACCCCGTCAGCCTCAACCTTTATGTGCATTTGTGTTTCAACCCAATGTTGATTCCGGAATTCTTCCCATTCACCCGGAGCACCTTTCGTAGAGAATATATGCCGATATTTCATACAAGTGTTGTTCAATGTACAGTAGCCAGGCGCCGTCTGGCGATCCTATGTTTTCTCTATTCATCCGAGCTATCTCCGACATGATAGAATGACCGAAATGCGGGCCGAGAAGTAAGTTTCGCAGGATTCGAAAAGCTTGACCCTCATTAACTTCCCATATATAATTATTGTGGAGTATATTATGGAGTGGGTTACGCTACATCCAATAAAATTGAACATTGGATGAAAGATGTGATTCTCCAAATAGTGACGTTATTTCTACTCCGTACGGTGTTGAATAATATACAACAGAAGTAATACACTAAACAGCATGTAATAACGGAATTGAATCTTTCACAAAAATGTAGAAATAAAGTTGCAAAACTGTCTAATCTCTTCATACATGGAAATGAACCCTCTATGCCTTTCCTTCCCCCTTGTAGGATCATCTACCCCTCTCCATGATATTTGCTTTTTATGGTAAGAGAACCAGACAGAATGTAGGCAAAGAGCGGTGTCATCATTTTCAGTCTCGATTTCGTGGGAGTCCTGAATTCTTAGCACGCAAGAATTGATATGCGCAAAGGAAGCAACGTATGCCTGAAATCGATTAGGGTTTAGCGTTGGGTAATTCTAAAGACATACAACATACGATGGTGTATAGCGCTCAATACTGAATGCCCGATTTTAATGTTGTTACAGTACGGAGTACACTGTAATAGAGACCTTGGGGGGCCTGAAAGCGGTCTAAAACAAGTATTAAATCAGGCATTGGGCATTGAGCGCTATGCACAGTCGCATCGATTCATCGGCTTACCCTCTCTCTAAACCACATATTGGAACATCATGAGTGACGAAAAACAGCCTCCCGTCACCACCTATCCTGACACGAAAACAATCAAAGAAAACTATGCCGACGTGACTTTACGAATCATTGAAGACCATGGCAACGAGTTCGAACCGCTGACGCCGGAAACAGAGAAGAAACTCACACGAAAGTTATACCTAAATATCGTGGTTTTAGTATCGATCATCAACCTGGTTCTATTTGTGAGTACTGCTCTTAATTTCAATCCAACCCTCTTTCTCTGACCTTTCCAGATGGACAAGTCAACCCTTGGCTATGCTGCGATTCTTGGGCTGTTCGAAGAGACGGGTATCTCAAAGTCACAGTATAATACTCTCAACACTATATTCTATGTCGGTATGATACATCCCCTGTATTGTTCAATATGCCACTTCTGAACACTGGAATTGACGTTGTTGATTTTCTTAGGCTATCTCGTGGGCCAGTGGCCTGGAAATTACCTTATGCAACGACTTCCCCTTGGGCGATTTTTAAGTGGAACACTTTTCCTCTGGGGGTCATCATATTCCTCCATTGTGTTGCCACCAAATACGGGGGACTAGTGGTTCTTCGTCTCGCTCTAGGTGCAGTGGAGGCAGTGGTTGTCCCTGCGATAGAAATCACTCTGAGCATGTTTTTCAATCGTGAGGAACAGTCATTTCTACAACCCATCTTTTTCATCACCTGTCTTGGTTCTCCAATTCCTGCTGGTTTTATTTCCTACGGGTTACTATACAGTCACAGCAATATCCTCCCATGGAAACTCTTCATGATCGTCAATGGAGGACTGACCATCCTACTGTCAATATGGACCTGGTTCTGCTATCCCAACAATCCCGCTGAAGCAAAGTTCCTTTCTCTTGAAGAAAAGGTTCACGTCATCCACCGTGTGCACGCGTCCCACCAGAGCTCTATCGAGCAGAAACAATTCAAAAAGTCCCAATTCATCGAATGCCTTCGAGACCCCGTGTCTTGGCTATTTGCCCTACAGGCATTCACGTTGATGTATGCCAACAACCTCAACTATGGCCAGCAAAACCTCCTGACTACTTCTCTTGGGGTATCCGACCTAGGTTCCACCCTGGTCTCCGCAGCAGGTGGCGGTTTCGGCGTTGCGCTCTGCATCGTCGCCCATTTTGCATTAAAGTTTTTTCCCAAATACCTCGCTCTGCATAGCCTAGTTTGGTGTCTTTTTGCACTGTCAGGGGCTGTAGGCATAATTTTCATCGATTGGAGCCGGAAGCTGCCGCTGTTAGTCTGCATGCTCATTGCGGAAAACACATACGGTATCACATATATCATCGCGCTCGGGTGGACAACTTCTTCGGCTGCCGGGTATACCAAAAGGCTAACGCGGAATGCAATGTTTATGTTCGGCTACAGTGTTGGAAACTTGGTTTCCCCGCAAATCTGGGTTCCGAGCGCGGCGCCGAGGTATTATGGTGCGTGGATCTCGATGATTTTTGTTAGCTGGGTGGGAACACCAGCCATCCTTGGGGTCATCCATTTTATTCTTGCAAGAAGGAATAAGGAGAGAAGAAGTTGGATTGCTGGATTGAGCGATGATGACCGAGAGGGGTGTATTGAACAAGTCGATGAGTCCGGGGTAGTGGTGAGGAGGAAGGTGGATCTGGCGATGCTGGATCTGACGGATTTGGAAAACAAGCTGTTCATCTATCCTATTTAGTGGGGGGATACGTCTCTGTTATACCATGGGGTAGGGGGTCTAACAGTGAAGGGGGGTCTTAAGTCTGGGAGAAGCAAGTAGGAGATTCTTTCGGGAATTAATTAGGATAAGAGGGTTCTAACTAATTAAATAAGAAAGTGGAGGTTTATTTAGAGGAATAGCTTCTAAAGACTAGATGTATTGAATACTACTTGGATTTAGTTGGCTCTTTACTGTGTCTAATAGCAAATAGCAATCACCACATTATCTCGAGAATGTCCATTTTATTTACTCGCCAATCCATCTATGATAAATGCATGGCCTAGAGGTGGCTATTTCTTAGAATAGACAGCAAACTCGAAATGGTCCGACTGTTTCGAGCGAGAGGCTACTCTATACCCTTGTCAGTCGGTCCAATCTTTACCCCGACGGCGTAACAACCCTTCCCACTTTGGCAATTAAATTCACGTTTTTGTCCATCTCAGCTTCCAAAAAAAAGAAAGGCTAAGAAAGTTAACATGGCAGCAATAGTTATGAGAGTGTTTACGGCATTCAGCCCTCCAAAAGTCGAAAAGAAGAATGATGCGATCCGGTTTGGCATCCTGGGGGCGGCCCAGATTGCGTGAGCATTCAAATGCTTCAACCTTGAATATCATTCTAACCTTGATATTAGACCTCTTGCTTTGATCACACCTGCCCTCTCACATCCCGAAGTTATTGTGCAAGCAGTTGCTGCTAGAGATCATGCTCGTGCTTCTGCATTCGCCAAAAAGCACAACATCCCTGATGTCCGCACATCCTATGACGGTGCGTTAGACTCAAATCCCTAAACTAGAGAACTAGAGAACTACGACTCACTGTAAATAGAGATTCTCGAAGACCCTAAGATCGATGCAGTCTTGATTCCTTTGCCCAATAGTTTGCATTTCGAGTGGGCTGTGCGCGCCATTCGTGCTGGCAAGCATGTCCTGCTAGAGAAACCATCGACCTCCAACGCCATCGAAGCCGAGATTCTATTCAACCTACCTGAGCTATCACGGCCAAATGCCCCAGTACTACTCGAGGCCTTCCACAACCGGTTCCATCCTTCAGTACACAAATTTCGGTCGTTTATTACCCCCGCCGATGTTGTTCACGTTTACACAGACTCTATGGTTCCATGGTTAATGCTCGATAAGGACAACATCGCGTTCAACTACCAACTCGCCGGCGGGAGTATGATGATGCTAGGAACATACAACTTCGGCATTATCCGCATGATTTTCGACGACGACCCTATCGAGTGTCTAACCTGCGAGCCTGGCATTTTCGGTGACGGTATCCATGATCAGTGTGATACTGACTTTAAGGCCAAATTCCGCTTTCCGAACGGTATTGCCGAAGCTTCTACTACTATGCGTGGGTCTGTCCTATGGAAACCCTCCGAGGCCCGCGTGACGCACAAGGAAGTTATCGTCGATGACAAGTCTCTCCCGGAAACACAAGAAAAACTACGTACCCGGGTGGTTATGCTACACGGTTTTATCCACGCTTTTATCTGGCACCGTATTGATGTTAAGGATACCTTCCTTATTCGTAACAAGGGTGATCACATGCCGGTCAAGACTTGGACCGAGTCCCAGTCGCATAAGGCTTACAGCTATAAGGAGGCTGGAGGAGAGTTTGCCAATATCCCCGGTGAGGACTGGTGGATGTCATATCGGTACCAGCTTGAGGAGTTCGTGAACCGTATTAAGGGGCGTCCCACGCAATATTGGGTTGAAGGTAAGGATTCATGGGATCAGATGAAAATGATTGACATGGCGTACGAGAAGAGCGGGCTCGGATTGCGGCCAACAAGTTTGTTCCGGTGATGAAATTGCTTTGAAAGGTAACTGTATTTTTCTTTTGGACTATTTGGCCTGCAGATAGAGTAGAGTAGTAATATCATTTATTACTTTTACTTGTCAGCTATTTGACTATACGGTGTTGCTATTATAGGCCTGGGTGTGTTCTTTCTTTTTACTATATCTGGGTGAAATGAGGAGAAAATGAGCCAGTGAGTGGTATGGGCTCCCTATAAAAAGTCCTAGCGATGAATTGGCCGGAGGCTGCTACTGGCTATATTTGAGTTGGGATAAACTCTGGCTGGATTTTTAACAGAATGGATAATATAAAGAACAAAGCATACATCTTCTATTTGAGATAGATCTAAAAAAAAATCTATTAAAGGTCAAGGGAATAATTAGATTAAAAAGCAAGAGAAGGTCAAACATCCACCTTTGCTATATCTTTGGTGAGAAGTTTGTATTCGCACCACAGTTCCTAGAGCTTATCGAATACTTCAATAGCAGCCTTGGCAGTAGAGGTAGAGCTGGCAGGGTTCTGACCAGTGACGAGTCGACCATCAACGACATGGAAGTCGTCCCAGATTCCAGCAGATCGCTCATCTATAAATAGTGTCAGTACAAGTCAAATAATTGCGGGAGCTGATAGTGACTAACACTTAGCACCAAGGCGCTCAGCAAGCTCCTCCACCATCTCGGATCCAAATCCCCTCAACTCAGCCATGATCCCCATGGTGTTCTCTGCCTCAGTAGTGAAGCCAGTAATTTTCTTTCCCTGGATCAGAGGCTTTCCAGTGGTCCGGTCAAGCAGGTTGGTAAAGATCGCAGGGCCATGGCACACAGATGCAACAACACCACCGTTAGCCCAGACTTGCTCGGCAATATTCTGCAAGGCACTGGCAGTGGGGTAGTCGATCAAAGAAGCATGGCCAGCGGACGCGAAGAACAATCCGTACTTGGACCCGTCGAGCTCGGAGGCCCTGGGCATATTATCGAGCTTTTTGCGGAACTCGCTATCGAGGTTGCTCCAGATCTCAAGGTCCTCGCCGTTCAGGAAGTCGGGCTGCTGGGAGAGCCAGTCAGCAGTATAGCTGCCTGATTCGGACGCGAGATCGACTTCGAAGCCTGCCGCGGTGAGGGCCTTGTAAGGGTGCAGGGCTTCAACGATGAAAAGGCCGGTAGTCTCCTTGCCACCAAAGAGAGTGGCACTGGCAGAGGTAATGGAAATCAGGGCTTTACGGGCAGGCATTTTGGTTGAGTTTGTTGATGAAGTATTGAAACTGGAGAAAGTCACTTTAAAGGTGGGAGTAGATATAGAAGAAGATTGTTTTTTTGTTTTCGAGGCTGATGCTTTGAATGCTTTGGGAGGTGCTGTTGTGGTGAGGAATATTTGCTAGAGAATTGTTCATCTATTTATACAAGGCTCTAGAAGAGCTGAAGAGCAAAAGGTCAGTAAGGTCTCCGGAGGTCCGCTTACAACTGCACTCGGAAACCTAGGAGCTACAATATGATAGACAGAGTTAAGCTATCGATAAACACTAGGCAGTAAGCGCTAGCGTTCCAGGCTCATGGAGCGAATAGTGGGAATGCTTGAAACATGAGGAACGTAAAAGGCGGAGTTTCGGAGTCGCGGAGTGACTGAGTTGTCGGAGAGGTGGAGTCGGGTGGAGTCGTACTTGTGAGCCACGCTCCTCCAACTCCGAAACTCCGGATTCCCTTCCCATCTAACGCGACGATTAATAACTTTTCGGAGACATTCTCATATGTTTGGGGTGGGATTCGGCCCGACGCTAATTATTTATAGCTTTCAGCATGTTTCCAAGTTACTGCAAACACCCATTTAGCTGCCGGCCTAACAATAGACCTGGTTAGCTTCCTGTCATTCCAAGACTCCTATATCACCAACAACCTTTAGATATCAAATCAGAATGAGTCCACACGTTCTTTCCGAATACATCCCCTCCGAAACCCGACTCTACAAGCCGTTGAAGGTCGGTAACGTCACACTGCAGAACCGAATCGCCTTTCCTCCTTTGACCAGGCTTCGCAATGATGACAACCATACGCCCCTTGCTTTGATGGAGAAATATTATGCGGATCGTGGCTCTGTCCCCGGAACCCTCGTTATCTCCGAAGCAACAGGGATTTCCCATGTTGAGGAAGGCCAGGCCAACAACCCGGGCTTTGTGAGTGATGCCCAGGTTAAAGCCTGGAGCAAGATCATTGATGCAGTTCACGCCAATGGCTCTTTCTATTTCCAGCAAATATGGGGCATGGGAAGGGCATCTGATCCGGATCATCTTGCTAGGCGCGGTTTCCCATACAGGTCTAGCAGTGCGGTGCCCATGAAGGGTGTTGATGTTACCCCGGATGCTCTGACTGAAGATGAGATATTGGAGACCATTCAAAGCTTTGTGGAGACCTCTAAGCGTGTCATCGCTGCTGGTGCAGATGGAGTTGAGATCCACTCTGCACACGGTTATCTGCTCGACCAGTTCCTCACATCTAGTGTGAACCACCGCACGGATAAGTGGGGCGGATGCATCGAGAACCGATCCAGATTGACACTTGAAGTTGTAAAGGCCGTTGTGAATGCGATAGGTGCAGAGAAAGTGGCCATCCGCTTTTCCCCTTATGCCGGATTCCAAGGCTCCGAGAAGACAGACTCCGTTGAGCTGTACACTCACCTCATCACCGAGCTCAAAAAGATGAACGTCAAGTTCGCCTACTTATCTCTAGTCGAAGCAACTGGTGACCCCGGGGCTTTGATTCGAGATGAAAAGGCGATCAATGTTGGGAAGACACTGGACTTTATTCTTGATGTCTGGGACAATTACTCGCCTGTCATGGTGGCAGGTGGCTACAAGCCTGAATCTGCTGCTCGAGCAGTGGAGACGAATTACAAGAATTGGGATGTGATGATAGCCTTTGGTCGCTATTTTATTTCCAATCCAGACCTAGTCTTCAGGATCCAACACGGCATTCCTCTTGCCCACTATAATCGTGCGACATTTTACCTCCGCGAGCAGTGGGAGGGCTACAATGATTATCCCTTCAGCCCAGAATTTTTGAAGGCCCACCCGAACGCCGTCCATCCTATGACTCAGTGAACATAAATTGACAACATGGAAGCATTTTGGTCAAGGCAACGCCTTGCACAAAGAGCAAAGGGCCAACGGCACTTGGATACGAAATCATCTTAGAACAGCATTGTATCACAGTCTTGCATTTGAAAGAATACACAACTTGGCCTAACCCTTAGAATTGGTAGGGGTCAACCTTCCATTACATGCATTCATCACAGGCTCTAGCATGGGATCAAAATCAAATTTCGATTCTGTCGATGCGTAGGTAGTTTACTCCATTACATCCATTTGAGGCTTATCACGTTAGGTAGTCAAGTCCAACTGCATTTTATTAGGTCACCCAGGCCAGGTTTTGCAGAGAGCGCAGTACCTCAATTGACGTAACAATCCTTTTTACCAAGCAGAAGAACCTTGTAGAAAGAAAGAAGAGCTGAACAATCTACATATAAAAGGGTCAGCTGACATCTCACCAATCAGGGATAAAGAAGAAAATGCGGCCCCACAATGCCAACTCCCTTGCGAACTTTGGAGTCAACTCTCACCCTCACTCTCTTCGTGTCTGCACAATTCCAGGCCACCAAGGCCATTCATGTGTGACTTGGCTGCCTAATGGCTACCACCCATTTGAGCAGGGTTTGGATATATCATGAATACCTCCTCACTGCGAAACAAGCCGTCCTCAGCCGGCACAGGTGCCGGAGTGAAACCCCTTCGAAAGCAAGTCTCTCGGGCTTGCGACTGGTGTCGTGCAAGAAGATCCAAGTGCGATAATCAGCGACCATGTAGAGCATGTATTCAAAGAGATGAACCATGTACCCAGACAGGCGTGGATGAGACGAAGACATTACCCCAAGCCTTAAGGTATGAAAATGCGTGAATAGCTATTTGTGAATTTATGAGTAAACCCTAAACACTGATATAGAGAATCTGAGAGACTCAAGGTACGTGTCAGAGACCTAGAAAATGAGCTGTCCTGGTATAAAACCCAGTATCAAGCAAGCTCCACCGTGAGCTCATCTTGGAGTCCACCCGAGCAGGCCTCTTTAGGTGGCTCTCCACGTGTGTCTAGCCGCACAAATACTTCCCCGCCAGAGCTTCAATCAGACAAAAGGTCAGGAGAAAGTGACCTTATGGCTCAGAAGCCATGGGAAGGGATCGAGATTGGCACCGCTCGCTCTCCGAATGTATCGTGGTACGGGCCGTCGTCGCTCTTTTACTTCATCGGGCGTATGAATAGCTACATAGACTCGAGTCTTCACCAGGGACAGTCCGGGGCAACCAAAGAAATGGTTCTTCATGAAACTGCAAATACGTTGCTTGGGTTTGACACTATCAACACTCCGGAAGACTCGACACACCCCGCTCTTTCAGGCGACCCCCATTATCCAGAGAGCAATTTCTGAGTCCAACACAGGAAGAATACTTTCTTGAGTTGTTCTGGAAGTCCTATCACACATCTCTATTCCCAGCAATCAATGAAACCAACTTTATGGATCACTATCGCTCTCTATGGAATGATTCCGGGGATTCAAGGACACCATGCGCGCTCGTGGACATTGTCATCGCTTTGTCCATGCAATACGGAGTATCCCGCTTGTCACCAGAGAAACAAAAATCTATCGCTGACGGCAACCCCAGCATTGCTGGTCGATGGTATTTCCGACGGGCCCAGATGATGTTAAACTACTATCTGGAAAGCCCAACAGTATCAACCGTGCAGTGCTTCCTACTCAGCGCTATCTACTTGTGCAATGGATCATTTCAAAACATGTCAGCCGATGCCTGTGGTAGTGCAACTCGGGCTGCCTATACTGTCGGGCTTCATCTGGATCCTCCCTCATCAATGCCCGAGCCAGAGCGTGAATTGCGCAGGCGCTTATGGTGGGCTCTGTACCAGCTGGATGCCAAAATTGGAATGAAACTTGGACGTCCATTCACGCTTCATCGATCTTCTATCGAGCCCAGACTTCCTGATGACAAACCTGATACTGCCTTGGAGTCAGGTTCCCGCTTTACTCCCCTTGGGGGGAATAAGACTTGGCTCAGTTTCCATCTGTACAACGTCAAGCTTTTCACCATTGCCAAGGAGATTCATGTGGCTTTCTACTCCAGAGATTTAAACCTTCCGGAGGGTCAGTCTATCTGGCACAGCCCGGAGATACTCGGGTCTCACGCTGAGTATCTGCAATCTCAGACGTCCAAAATGGATCAATGGCGAGAAGAAGTGCCTACTTCACTCAAGACGAAAAGAAAAGGGAACGGCGCAACCTTCTCGACAGACGGTTCTCGAATGGAGTTTGAGCAATTTGCGCCCGAATGGCTCCAACGCCAGCGCTTGAATTTGGAGCTTCTATACCACACACTATGCTTAAATGTTTACCGTCCGTTCATCTCCTTCATCCCAGGTCGCCAGTCAGCTTTGACTCGCGAGCTAGCCACTAAGTGCGCTCTCCACGCAATTACACTTACCAAGATCACACATCAAGCGCTTTCATCAACAACAATTTTACATGGCTGGCATGAATCTTTCCAGTGGCAATGGAACGCATCTATGACTATCGTCGGCTTCGTCCTCGCAAACCCGCACAACGAGTTAGTCTCCGATGCCCGTCAAGCCGTTGATCTCTCAATTGCCATATTCGACATCTTCGGCGAATGCTTCGGAGTGGCGACTAGCGCTGCCAGAATCCTGCGCTCCCTAGCCCCCAAAATAGACTTCCTCTTGCAATCCTATTCCGCTTCACAAAGTTCAGTCACAAGTCCTGGCGGACTGGACGGAGCGCCTATTGAGAACTTGAAATCAAATGGGATCGGATCAGAATGGCTTGATAGTCTCATGTCAGATGCGTCTGCTTTTGATCCTTCTTATGTGATGCCGATGCAGGAAATGTTTCAAATGGCTTATTCCATCGAGCAGTGGAGTGGATTGGATTCGTTGATGCCGAGTATGGGGGTGGATCAGTGGATCATATAGAGGTGGGTTTTTTGGATTATTGCTTGTAAAGACATGATTTCTTTTTCACAATAACATTTACTGGATGATGGAGGTGATGATATAATCACGCCTGGTAGGCAACTTAAACTCCTGATGGCTATATCAGCAGATGTGCCTTTCCCAATGAACTGGGAATAACAGATGAGTTAAAGGACCCAGAGGAATATGCATGGATAAAGAAGTGGATAAAAACGAGGGGAAAGAGGGGATCAAGGAGAAGAAGGAAAAAGGGAGAGAAAGGCGAGAGACGTGAGAGGAAGGAGTAAACAAACAGAACAAATAGGCCGGAACTACATACATATGTCTATAGACATATATAGGTAGCCGAGGAAAGAGTGCAGAGGAGAACGCTGATCTTACGGATCAAGGCTAGAGATTGGAATCTTGCTTGCATAGTATAGTTGCTATATCATACTAAATCGATTGACGTAGCAATGAGAAAGAGAAAGAGTTCTAAAGGTGCATAAATTACTAACCACCTAGGTAGTCTCTGAGGTCGTCATGGATCTGATCTGGAGTATATTGTAACCAGTTCTGGCATTGCGACTGTTGGGATCAGGTGAAGCAGTAGGAGAGAGATTCTCAGAGATAAGGGCCCAATGTCTTGGCGCAGGTATCTCCAATTAACTTCTCCTCATTCCACTCCTTCTCTCCACACCTTCGTCTCTTCACACCTTCTCTTCAAGATGCCACGCGCCGTTCGAGGTCAGCTCCTCTTTGTCTCTTGCTTCCTCGGATATCTTGCTAACACTTTATATCCTCGGCAGGTCTCCTGATTGAATGCGATCCCTCGATCAAATCCATGATCCTGAAGTACGACGAAGAGCGACATGACTACATAGTGGAGGATTTGGATGATGAAAATCACCTTGTTATAAAGGAGAGCCAGCTGCAGAACCTCAAGGTTCGCTTGGATCAGGTACCTGCTACACCCTAGCTATTGCGGGAATACCCAAGCGCCATTACTCACACATTTGACAGGACCTTGACGAAAAGATCATGCAGCTGGATGAATCTGAATCTGAATAGTTTATAACCAGCTATCTTGCACTAGACACTACGTCTATACATGCAACGCAAACTCAACCGGTCCTCATATCCAAGTCCACAACGCACTCGCAGCACACGGTCGTGAATGTGCCCATCTCCCACCACTTGTTACAAAGGATCGCATCGTGTTTTCACCGGCATCCAATGGTTGGATTCAGTCTGGTCACCTCCCTCCATCATCCGCCCTTCCTCCGACCAATAAGTACCTGGCCACTTTGCATGGAGACACTCTCAATGATAGTGTGGGGACTGCTCTCAGACAGAGGGAGGGGTTCGAGACTGCGCAACCCATCGAGGTTGGTCATACTTCAGAACTGTATATCCTAGCTCCAGGCCGTGCTGGCTACTAATACCATTGCAATAAATGAGAGACGTGTGACGTGATCGAATGTTGGCGAAGCACATCATCCAAAGCACCGGAAAAACCATTACTCCGACGGATATAACCATGGACAATGTATATAGTGTAGCATGTCACTTTCCAATAATCTTGGAAGACACATTTTTATGACACTTGCATTTTCTGACATACACCCGTTGGCACATACACTGCAATCAGTCAATTACACTCTATTGCATAACACAACAGCCGCGACCATCGACTAGATGTCAACGACAGGTTACACGCTATGTTGTGCTATCTTCCTGTGTAAGGGCACCTGGTTTCCGGTGGATTATGGCTATATAAGTTCCTCTTGGACCCCTTATTCAGATTTCCTCTCAGCTCCAATATAAAATCACTTTTTTTAAAACACCTGACTTCCAACTTACAATATGGCTCTTTTCCGTGCCAACTTGCCCGGCTCTGGCGACTTCGCTCCTCTTTTCCGTCTGCTCGATGACTACGATGACCACCGCTCTTCCCGCAACCAGGCCGCGGTTCGCTCGTTCTCTCCTCGCTTTGACATCCGTGAGAGTGAAGATGCATACCATTTCGATGGTGAATTGCCTGGCATCGATCAGAAGGACATCGATATCGAATTCTCCGACCCCCAAACTCTAGTTGTCAAGGGCCACAGTGAACGCGAGTACCATACCGAGCCACCAGCTGAGGCCAAGGAAGGCAAGGATACAGATGAAGACAAGCCCACTCACCGGTTCTGGGCCAGCGAGCGCTCAGTCGGCGAGTTCCAGCGCGTCTTTTCCTTCCCAACTCCTGTCGATCAGCACAATGTCAAGGCCAGTTTGAAGCATGGTATCTTGTCCATCAAGGTACCCAAGACCACTGCCGCTACTTCCAAGAAGATCACCATTGAGTGAAGAGTCATTTCCTTCACGTCGACACAAGGAGGTACTATTCTTTTACCAATGGTATTGGATGGAATTTGAAATTCTTCCCTGCATCTGTGTTTTATTATATTTTATTTTTGTTTTTATTTATGCCATAATGTTTTCCTAATTCTTTTGGATATATGTCATACATGTATATCCATGATCCGGGGCCTCGGCACATGCAAATCCTAAGTTGATAGGCAAAATACATTGTTGAGTAATCTTTATTGGAAAATAGAGTTAGGTCTAGGATTGCATTTAAAGAAATAAATAAATAGTCATAGTCATGTAGTATTTAAGGCATCCAAGATATTTCAAGGCATTCAAAGTTGATATTCGGTTGTTGCTCACGTTTTGCTCCAGTGCCGAGGTCCCCCGCTGGTCCTCTTATACTCCCAACTCCCATCCCTTCTTTCTCTCTCAATCTCCAAAAAACATTAATTTTTCTCTCTAAATATGGCTGACAACTACTCTTTCGAATATTTTACCATCCAACTTCCCACCGACCATCAATATGTGGCCCATGTGGAAATCAATCGCCCGGAAAGGTTGAACGCCTTCATCGAAGTGTGAGCACTAACCCAGACTTTGACCTTAATATTATCTAATAAATCAAATATAGTATGTGGGAAAACATGGCCAAGATCTTCAACAAGCTATCCGCGGATCCTCGCGTTCGCGCGATCGTCCTCAGCGGCGCTGGAGAGAAGGCATTCACCACGGGGCTGGATGTTAAGGCGGCCGCAGAGGGCGGCCCTCTATCGTCAAACCCCACCGCCGACCCAGCTCGAAAGGCGGTCGCTCTTCGTCGGCATATCACCGCCTTCCAGGACTGTATCACTGCAGTAGAGCGTTGCGAAAAGCCCGTTATAGTTGCTCTTCATGGATTCTCATTGGGACTTGGCATTGACCTATCAACGGCGACGGACGTGCGTCTCTGTTCCCGTGATACCCGTTTTGCAGTCAAAGAAGTCGATATCGGCATCGCAGCAGATATTGGCACCCTCAGTCGACTGCCCAAGGTGGTCGGAAATTACGGGTGGGTCAAGGAGGTAGCTCTGACAGCTCGCGAGTTCGGTGCTGAGGAGGCGCTGCGTGTGGGTTTCGTCAATGCGGTATATGATAACCGAGAAGCCACTATTGCAGCCGCGTTTAAGCTCGCCTCCTTGATCGCCAGCAAGAGCCCCGTGGCCGTGCAAGGCACCAAGGAGATCTTGAACTTCTCGCGTGACCACTCTGTGCAAGAGGGACTGCGCTATACGAGTATATGGAATAGCGCTGCTTTGCAGACTCAAGATGTCTCGGCAGCTCTCCTGTCTGGGTTGCAAAAGCGTACTCCAACATTCGAGAAGTTGTGAGGGCAAAATCCACCAATTCCCACTGTATATAAAACATCTACGGGGTAGTCCACTAATAGAAACTTCTGTGACATGCCAAGGAATGTCATCATTCATCATATCTGACCGTGCTCATGGCTATATCGGAGTACGTCCGTACATACAAGCTGTTTTAGGATAAATTCCCGGTTTACCAAGCTTATTATTTCCAGCCCGTGTCCTATTAATAAGTTTCCATGAATCAGAAGCAACGATCAACGGGTCCCCGCATTTCTCTGCATGTTTCATTGTTTTTTTCTCCGAAACGACAATGAAACTCGACAATGGCCCTGTATACCCCGCTGAGAACGCCAACTCTTTTTCCACGTATCCAAGCTACTATTTAGCATGGCCTGAAAATATATATAAGTTCGAATAAAATGCTAATTCTCTGAAGAACATTTACAAAAAGCCTTCTCACTAAGAACTTGCTCTATACCCATCTCGCCATGAAATCTGCTATTCTTCTCTCCGCGCTCATCCCTAGTGCGCTGGGCACAACCATCTACCTTGCTGGTGACTCGACTATGGCAAAGGGTGGGACTGGATCTAGCACCGCGGGTATGTGTATTCTCTTTCAGCCTCCAGGATAGCATCATGCTAATACTCCCAGGTTGGGGTGAATATGTTACGCCCTATACCTCACTCACCGTGTCCAACCAAGCTGTCGCCGGCCGTAGCGCACGGTCATACACGCGTGAGGGGCGGTTCAATGCCATTGGAGAAGTGGTTCAATCAGGAGATTGGGTGATCATCGAGTTCGGGCACAATGACGGTGGCTCTTTGACGCCTACCGATAATGGGCGTAGCGATTGCTCTGGCACAGGCAGCGAGACCTGTAGCACAACCTACAATGGGGTCGCCGAGACGGTGTTGACGTTCCCGGCATATATAGAGAATGCCGCCAAGGCGTTCAAGGACAAGGGCGCGAATGTGATCATCTCCAGTCAAACACCCAACAACCCCTGGGAAACTGGAACCTTCACTTATAGCCCGTCGCGGTTTGTGGGCTACGCCGAGTTGGCTGCTGCTGCTGTCGGCGTGTCCTATGTTGATCACGGGGCTTATGTGGCAGATCAATTCCAGACGCTTGGTCTGACTACCGTCGATGCGTACTTCCCCTTGGATCACACGCACACTAGTCCTGCTGGTGCATCGGTAGTGGCTCAGGCCTTTTTCAAGGCTGTGGTTTGTGGGGATGTTGCGCTGAAGAATTCTCTGAGCACCACCTCTTTCCCTGGTTCGTGTCTCTAAACGGACAGATGCACGGGGCCTATACAATCTAAGCTTGTTTTGTGACCATATTGTGTTGTCTATAGAGCGAGATAGCAGATTGGGTATGTCAACGTCTGAATCCAAGTGCTATTTAAATAATTTGCTATACCAAGCGCTTGTTAGTGGACATCTTGTATCGTTGTCGTACATTCACCTTACAGTCACGCCTTTACATCATCTTAGGCTAAATGAATCAGATTATACGTTGCACTAAGGAGCAGCCTCTTTTAGAAGCAGTATCTCCTAGAGACCCCTCTGTTCCTTATTTCACTACGCAGGAAATATCACCTAGGCACCTTCCTCATCTGACCTCTCTTCCCCTTATTTTTTCTCTCCCCTTATAAGGTTCTTTCACTCTTCTCTGACTCTTCTCTTCTTTCATTCTTCTTATTCTCTTCATCCAATCACCTGCTCTCTCTCTTCATCATCAACGAGCACGAGAACCATTGCAACCGCTACTATCTCTTACCTAGGCAGCAACTGGCACCATGTGCCAATCATTCTCAAGTTTCATCCAATTGATAAGGAAAGGATGACACATTACTGAAAATCTTAACTATCCGAAACTTACTAAGGCCATATAGTTTCGGACGCCGGAATGTCTGCACTTTCTATCCTCATGGATTCCCTTTCGGAGAACTTTACGTTAACCTCAACGACAAGACATTTAGAAATGTCTGATGACGCAGACTCCGCGGAATTTGAGCACTCAGACGCCCAGTGCTTCGACGCGCTGCCCGACGACACAGTCGAAGCCATCGGATCAACGGAGAGTGCTATCCGGAAGATTATCAAAGAACACAAAGAAACGATCGACGTGGTGAAATATATATGTTTCACAAACGTCCTACCAGCCATTGCGGACAAGTTTTCTTTACGCAGTAGTTAGTCGGCAGAGCACTAAGGCATCTCGCGAGAAAAACAAACCCAACACACCGATTACCCTCACGCCACCAGTACCTTTGACCATTGGGATTGAAGAATTGTGTTGTCGTCAACCAGTCCCGCCTGAACACAACATTGAACTATCACCTGATCGGTTGGGACGGTTCTCAAAACACATGTGGGGGGGGAGCAAGAATTCTACCTTATTATTACCTCTGTACCTCTCCGGGGGTACAACTATATCCAAAAGCAATTGTAAACTGGGCTTCAACCACTCTGGCTCATGGCCAGATAAATTCGTAAGGTTTCGTAATATGTTCATAACTAAGACACAAGCAAATACAAAGGCTGTCGTTGAAAGAGCTTTCTTGTGAACATAAATCACCGTCAGTCCGATTTCATTCCTCCAGAATAGATCGAACGATGCCCCGGTTCTCGACTCGGTGATAGTATTGATTCACGCTCGCGAACCGAGCATCAAATGCACCTTGGTTCTGTACAATATCCTGTAGAACTGGCCATAGAGAGCAATCGTCGATGGTGAACACGGAGCCTCCCAGGTAATGTTGGCCCTGTAAAGTACGCTCCCAATCCTCAATCCCATATTCAAACAGGCTGGCTGAATTGGTGGCACGGTGCTGACGCCAGTGTGCCAGAAACTGGTCAATCGTTGGCAAGAAATTGCCCCCACGTAACGAATCTCCACCTGGCCGTGAGATATCAGCAGGCCGGTTGGCCATATGCGCTAGTATAACAGAGTCTCCCGCGATTGTGGATCCATCGGGCGCTTCATAAATGGGCAGTGTAGTTGGGTCACTATCTCTAGCTTCCAGTTGCTCACGGTTGGTGATCAATCGATATCGGACGCCGCTTTCCCCTAGACAGAGACGCACACGTAAATTGGCCACAATATCACAGCCGAGAACTAGTTGCCCTTTTGATGTAGTCACAAAGTTGACCACGTCAAATCCTCCTCCGTACACGGCGTCCCAATTGAATTCGGTGGCACGATTTTCCTGGCCAAACGCACCAATGAGGCGTACTGTTTCGGTAGGATCCCCATGAACCACGGCGCGAGCCTGCTCCAATGTCTTACTGACAGCCCCCTGTCCCCATATTTTGTTGGCTACAGGGTCGATGAAAGTGCCAATATGACGGAAAGTAAGGGAAATTCGCTGACCACCGAAGGCTTGCTCCTCGGTAGATTTGGTTGCATTAGGCCGTTTGTCGGCCCGGATGCCATGAAGCCATCGCATGTTCGTCTTTGGACCGAGCACAAAAAGTGACTTGTGAGGGAGAGGCACGCGCTGGGTTGTGCGGCATGATTCAGTGCCTTCCTCAGGCTCCGATGCTGAGGCCTTCGTACGGAGGACCATCACGCGCTCGGCGCCTAGACTGACATTGCAAATGGAAGACCCTCGCACAATATCCAGTGTCTTATCTGAGTGCTCTGATATGCGATCCTGCCCATCACGATAAAGCTGAATAAGTACATGATTCAAGGGGTGGCCTAGTATTTGCTCAACCGTCATACGCACTTCATCAACCGCGGGGGTAAATGGTTCGAAGGGTGGAGACTCGTCTGCTGGATGACGATATATAGGTATGGCTCCATCGGGTCGAGGTTGGCCCTGGACTGCAACCAATCGGGGAACCTGGCCCGACAGATGGTACATTTTTTGCCAATCTACCTCCGCCTGTATACGATGAAAGGAGTCTTCGGCCAAGTTGACATTGTTCACGAGGCGCGAGTCGCCCTCCCCGATGTTGGTTTGGGATGTATTTGGCATTTCCGCGGGTTGCAAAGGTGTTATTCCTTCGCCGTGGTCGGCGCGAGGTTCAGTTGAAGATTCTTTTGGAGTGTCTCGGCGCTTCGGACGACGTACGCGCACGCGTACTTTCTTTTGGTCCTCCGCTGGACCCCGCGCCTGTGCAGCAGTAGTGCGTTGTGCGCGAGAAATACTAAGGAGATCCGAAAGGCTGGGATCTTCTGGCTCACGCGAGTCGTCTGTGGGGGAGGTGTCCGTGGCATTCCAAAATTCCAGACCATCCATGACGCTCTCGATGCCAGCCGTAGCTGCTGACCTCTTAGACTGCGGCGCGCCTTGGCGAGCAATCGCCTCAGTTTCATCCCAATCTAGCTCCTGAATGAGCTCCTGAGAGGTGATACCAGTCGCTCCCAGAATATCTGCCATACGTCGCATTGCTTCTTGATGTCGCTGAAAATCGCGGAACCCCAGGCAATCCTCCACTAGAGTGACTGCGAACCCATTGCGGACAGCATCCAAAGCCGTCGCAAACACAGAGACATTGGACAACGAGCCACAAAGATACAACTCGGTCACAAAGCGTGTCCTAAAAGATAGCACCAGGCCGGGGGACTCCAGGGCAGAGTATCGTGTTTTGTCCACTACGGTGTCAAGCTGGGTATTGATGGCGGCTAGAATCGGCGCGGGGAACTGATATCCGGGGGTATGCGGGTCACAGCATATCGAGGAGTCGGCGGAGAGAAAGGCTTCACGGTCAACCGGTTCTGGTGAATTATGCTCCGACCCAACTTCAATTATATCCGAGGTGGGCATTTCCTTTCTGCGCGGTGGTTCTCTGTCCAGCACAATGCGATCACCAAAGTTCCAATCAACAATGGCTTGAGGGGAATCATATTGTGAGCGCACCCAAACTACATCGCCAACTCGACGGAAAGCAGATGCTAGCTGGGGGAGGGTTTCGAGGATATCTGATGTATTGGGAATATGTAAAGCCCCAGATGGACGGACAAAGTCATTTTGAAAGTCAAGTAGTAACAAGGCCTTCCGGGTCTGGATGGTGGGTAAAGCCCCAAATGAGAAGACACTCATCCTATAGACATGGTACAATCAAAGACTAGACACAAGAGAATAATTGGACCGACCAAACAACCTCAGTGGATATGAAGAGGTGGGGGGCGGAGAGACATTGTAGAAGGCCTGAGGCAGAAATGGTACTTTTTTGGGGGGAAGGTACGACTCAAAAAAGAAAAAAAGAAGTTGAGGCAGGTACGAATGTCATCACGTGTTTCGAATATATAACAAAAAAAGAAAGAGTCTGGACCTTCTACGGAGTACTTCACTTTTTGATACATTCTGATATCCCGGAGATTGTTCCAACTCCGGGGAAAAAGCATACTTATCCAATAAAAGATTTTGAGTCATAAAAAATAATATGACCTCGGGGCCTCTACGGAGTACCAAGTATGCTTGTCGCACTGGGAAACGCAATTCATGACATAATAAATGATCATCCTCCAATCAATACACCGGCCGGTGTCGGTGTGGAGTCTCCGGGGAGCAAGGTCTGCTCTCCGAGAATTGCTAGGGTGACTCGAATCGCCCAGCCATATTCGCCCATTATTTAAATTCCCAAGCTTCCCCAGTCCAACTTCTTCTTTCTCCTTCACTCTCCACTCTCCTCTCTTCCATATCTTCACAATGGCTTCTCGTGGTCTTCCCCGTGCCCTCCGCCTTGCCCGCGCGGCCGCTCCTCGCTCGGTTATTACCGCAGCTCTCCCTCGCCCTGCCATCGCTGCCGCTGCCGCCCTTCCCCGTGTCTCCTCGGTCGTCACCCCCGTCCGTGGTATCAAGACCATTGACTTCGCCGGTGTCAAGGAGGATGTCTACGAGCGTGCCGATTGGCCCCGTGAGAAGCTCCAGGAGTACTTCAAGGACGACACTCTTGCTCTCATCGGTTACGGCTCCCAGGGTCACGGCCAGGGTCTGAACCTCCGTGACCAGGGTCTCAACGTTATCGTCGGTGTCCGCAAGGATGGTGCCTCATGGAAGGAGGCCATCCAGGACGGCTGGGTCCCCGGCAAGAACCTGTTCGATGTCACCACCGCCATCCAGAAGGGTACCATTGTCATGAACCTTCTCTCCGATGCCGCCCAGTCCGAGACCTGGCCCACCATCAAGCCCCTCCTCACCAAGGGCAAGACCCTCTACTTCTCCCACGGTTTCTCCCCCGTCTTCAAGGACCTCACCAAGGTCGATGTCCCCAAGGACATTGATGTCATCCTCGTTGCCCCCAAGGGTTCCGGCCGTACCGTCCGCACTCTCTTCCGTGAGGGCCGTGGTATCAACTCCTCCATTGCCGTCTTCCAGGACGTCACCGGTCAGGCCAAGGAGCGCGCCATCGCCATGGGTGTCGCCGTCGGTTCCGGCTACCTCTACGAGACCACCTTTGAGAAGGAGGTCTACTCTGACCTCTACGGTGAGCGTGGCTGCCTCATGGGCGGTATCCACGGTATGTTCCTCGCCCAGTACGAGGTTCTCCGTGAGCGCGGTCACAGCCCCTCCGAGGCCTTCAACGAGACCGTTGAGGAGGCCACCCAGTCCCTGTACCCCCTGATCGGTGGTAACGGTATGGACTGGATGTACGCTGCCTGCTCCACCACTGCCCGTCGCGGTGCCATTGACTGGTCCAGCCGCTTCAAGGACACCCTGAAGCCCGTCTTCAACGACCTCTACGACAGCGTCCACAACGGCACTGAGACCAAGCGCTCCCTCGACTACAACTCGCAGCCCGATTACCGCGAGAAGTACGAGAAGGAGATGCAGGAGATCCGCGATCTCGAGATCTGGCGCGCCGGAAAGGCCGTCCGCTCTCTCCGCCCCGAGAACCAGAAATAAATAATACCTTGATACCCGTGGGGGTTCAAAAAATGATGATGTACTATGAACTGTTCTTTTTGGGTTTCAGGTCGAAAATATTATTTTGAGGCTTTAATGGCCATTTCCCCAGTTACTTTATTTTATTCTTTATTCAATTTTTCCTCTTGTAGATTATGCATTGCAGCTTGCACCTGCAGCTAGTAGCCCCGCGCCGAACCTCGGAGAATAGTCCGGGGTAAGATAAGAGTCATCCTTGTTATTTCTCTGCTCTCCCTTCTTCGCCCTCTTCTACAATCCACAAATATGACTTCACCCGCTGTTGCAGCCCAATCGCTTACTCCAGCCGCAATTCAAGCGGCATACGGTCTCATCCAACCCCATGTGCACCGTACGCCGCTGCTGACATGTAAAACACTTGATACCATCGCTTCAACACCGCAATCCGTCGAAGCCTTGGTTGGAACGCCGTTTGAAGGTCAAACTCCCGCTCGCCCACAATTTCGATTCTTCTTCAAATGCGAGAACTTTCAGCGAATCGGCGCCTTCAAAGCGCGGGGTGCATTCCACGCATTGCTGCGATTGTTGGAGGAGCGCGGGGAGGAAGTCAAACAGCGCGGGGTGATCACACATAGCTCTGGTATTCACTGATCTTCTGCTGCCCGAGGCAAAATTATACATACTGACTCCTCTTGATTTCAGGAAACCATGCACAAGCCCTCGCCCTCGCCGCCTCGACCCTGGGAATTCCCGCTTATATTGTGATGCCCCGCATCAGCACGCCATCGAAGATTGCGGGTACACAGTCTCATGGCGCGGAGGTCATCTTCAGCGGCTCGACAAGTGTAGAACGTGAGGCTGTGGTGGCAGAGATACAGGCGAAGACAAACGCCATTCTCGTGCCACCATATGATGACTTCAATGTCATTTGTGGGCAGGGTACAACGGGGTTGGAGCTGGAGGCACAGCATGCCGAACAAGCTGGGTCCCGAACCCTGGATGCGGTCATCACTCCAATTGGTGGAGGTGGACTCAACTCCGGCGTGGCGACGTGGTTCTCGGATAAGCAGACACGGGTGTTTGGTGCCGAGCCCAGTTTTGAAGGTGCAGACGATTGTCGACGCGGACTGCAGGCTGGAAAGCGAGTGGAAGCCGTTGGCACCCTCACTATTGCAGACGGGCTACGCACTCCCGTGGGATTACTAAATTGGGAAGTCATCTCCAATGAGAAGAAGGTAGAAGGGGTATTCGCTGTTACCGAAGAGCAGATCAAGTCAGCCATGCGGTTGGTTATAGAGCGCATGAAGGTTGTTGTTGAGCCGAGTGCGGTGGTTGGACTAGCTGTATGTCTCTTTGATGAAAACTTCAGGCGACGAGTCGAACAAGAGGGTGGCAAGGATGGATGGGATGTTGGCATTGTGTTCAGTGGCGGCAACACAACCGTCGAGGCAATTGCCAAGCTGTTTACATGAACATAGGATATTGAATAGATGAATATACACCGTGAATATAAATGTTCAATGATCCGGATCAGTCATCTCAACCCCAGAGCCACGCATGTAAAATGAAAAGCTCCCACCGTTGGTCGCCTCGATTGCTTCCACTATGCGACGAGGCCATTCATCGCGCCCCCACGGATTGACCCATGCCGATATCTTCCCTTGCTGAACCACGCTCTGCCGTGAAGGGGCATCTTTCACGGCTGCATGAGCGGCCATACTTGGAGGGAATGGGCGAACAGAGGACCGGTGGACAATTAGACGCAATGTTGGAAAAGTACCCCAGGGTGCAGGGAGAGCAGGTCTCAGCGATGGAACACGAGCCTGGAACTGGTCGTAGTGGCCAGGGCCGGAACCTCGACCTCCTGCAACCGTTGCCGTATACACAATTGCACATTGGAATTGACTCTGCAGAGCCTTCAGCTCCGTCACCAGCTCAGCATAAAGGTCAGACAAATGAAACCTCTTCTTTTGCTCGCGCTCAGAATCAATTTCTGCCTGAGGGCGCCCAATTTCTTCGGTCCGCGCGACTTCGTCACGCAGCCGGTCTTGCCAGATGAAGGCGGTCACACTGTCAATGGCGATCATCTGTAAGGGACGTGACGCGGAACGATGTCGTGAGAGATCGAAAAGGTACGAGTCTAGCGTGTGGATTGTGGCCAAAAGAGCGGATGAAGATTGCGGGCGAAAGACATGGACATGCTGTAGTGAAGAGACGAGCAATGATTCAAGATGAGGCCCGAGACTTGGTTCAGATATTCCTCGCTGCTGCTGCACGATACCTCGAGCCACAGTTTTGAGTCTTCCGGCATCGAATCGGCCGTCAGTATCTATGAACACCACAGCTGCCTCCTGGCCACTGACTGGGATATCCCCATATTTTCGTGGTAAGATGGCGAGAGCCGTGAGATAGTATAATAGTTGTGACTTTCCAGAGGCTGACAGGCTGCTTGAAATCTCCACGATAGGAACTTGCTGTTTCTTGCTACCGTCTAGGTCTGAGAACGACACATTGGCAGATGGGTCAATGTCTTGCACTGCGTGTAATTCATCCGGCATATATTCATGACCAGCCAGGAGTTCACTGCGCAGCAGCATTTCTTCATCTTCAATGGTCTGCTGTTCTACAGACTCACTTAGAGATTGAGGTTGTCCATCGTTCGCAGCAAGTGCTTTCGGCGCAAAGACTTCAAGCAAAGTGTCCAGGATGGGCACACCTAATGAATGTGTGTCATGGCTTAAGTGACCAGGATGAAAATGGGCCAATCCAGAGAGTATCTAAACCTTGTCAACTCGATGCGTTTAAGGAAATAGAAAAAGCTGCAATACCTCATCTAGTCCCTCTTGGTGTACATCGGCTAGCGATCTCTCCCCGAGATTGGCTGCCATGGGTAAGCAATGGACTGCGTCATGGATCTGGCATCACTAGATTTTGACCACGTATAAAGTCCAGTGCGTAGATTTGAGCAAAGTGGTAGAAGTGCAAAACGTGTAGACGTGCGAGCGGAAAGTTGAATAGCGCGGCTGACGGAGCTTCCGAACTTCCAACCTTCCCCAACCTTGGAGATTCCAATCATTTTCCTTCGACAGCACAGCAACTCCCAACTCTGACTCAATTAATTATCTTATATTCACAATTGAAAATCACAATGGCTCCTCTCGTCCCCATATTCTCCGCTGATTCCCTCCCCGATCAAGTCAATACCGTTCGTCGCAACTTCCAAGAAAAACGCCGTAAAGGCGAACAAGTCAACCTCAAGGACTGTCCGTTACTCGAAATGACACAATTCTCTTGCAATCCACCACAAAATGGGGTTCCCGAGCCAGGCGTTGTGGTATGCGAGCCGGTGGTGCGGTTGTTCCGACGGTGAGTCTTGGAGCATCGAGTTGAAGTCAAATAGCAAGCTGATCTCTCGTAGCTGTGCCGGCGGGTTAATGGTTGAAACAACATCATGGGAGCCAATTAGGCTGGCAGAGGAAGCAAAACAAAAGCAAACGGCCAATACGAAACAATGAGAGGGACTACTTTGCATTACGAATACGCATTGGGCGGAGTTGGCTATATGGGATTACAATTACTTGCAGGTTTCAAGAATAAAAGTTGCATTCCGAATAATGCTTATGACTGCCATGGGGTATCTCCTCAGGTCATGCTCCTGAACTAAAACACAAGCGCCAGCCCATAATCGTGGGAGAAAAAGAAAAACAACGCCGGTGGGCCTTATGCCTTTGTAAATTATATGTCAATCATGACATCCGCTGGATCGATACTTGCTGGAGGCTTTGGAGTCTTCTCCTCTCCTCGCCGTGCATTCGAGCTTGTCCTGCGCCAGAGATCTCGCTCACAGTTGACAATGGGGCCCAACTCCATATTCCACGAGAGCTTGAGCCGGGATTTGTCGGCATCCGCCGGGCGTCCCGAATCAATATCCATGGCTGAACTGGATTCCTTGCCATGCTTTTTGGATAGTCCCTTGACCGTCTTTTCGAACATGCTTTCCATGCTGTCCGTTCTCCGACCCCAGAGTTTCTTATCGCGGCCAGTCGAGCCCGTCTGGTTGTCGCGGAATGCAGCACTCGCTAATTTGCGCAAAGCTTCTTCGCCATGTCGTCCATCCTCTGCAGCGCGTTCCCTAATCTTGCGCGGGTCGTTGTCTCGTCCAATGAAAACTGCGGTGGCAGAATAGGTGTGTTTGCTAGGGAAGCTGGGGAAGTGTTTGGGGATGTAGGGACGATTTGCGCGGTCGTCTTCGCTGCTCAGAGCCGTGAGAAATGGGAGAGATTTGGATATTTCATTCTCTGGTGGGGGAGATGGCAATAATGTCGGTGTGGGTTTGTCTGAGGGCGCTGATTTGAGATGAGGAAGAAGATCATCGGGATTGAGGTGTAAACGCTTCAGAGCGTGGTCAAAATCTTGCGGGATTGGTTGGACGCGTCGTGCAGATAGCATAGACTGACGAATGAATGTGGAGAGTCGTAGCATGTCTAGAGATTTCAGGCGCAACCCGTTAATTCAAGCTTCAAAATGGATGCAATACCAGGCCACGTACACTCCTCAGTAGCACTGCAGAGACTCGACAGTGCAGCTGGATCGGCCACCTCAAACCCCGAGTCCTTCAGAGTCTGGCCGACTGCACGATTCATCAATTGGTCGAGATGGGTGTCATCTTGCACGACCGGCTCGGAGGTGGATGGGAGAATCACGGGCTCCTGCAAACGATGGTGGTGATGATAGTGGCGCTTTATCCGCTTCGGATTGTTCTGGTCGATAGATGGAGAGGGTCGTTTAATATGGGCGCCCGATGTCGCCATGGCCATTGTATTGGTCTGATCAAGAAGTAGTCGTCCCGACCAGGCAATGAATGTTATCAGGTTGGTCACGTGGTAAGGGCGGTGAGTAGATGAGCAGATGTCATAGACCTTTTGGGGACTCATAGGAGGAAGCAATGTAAATGACTTCAAATGTTGGTTTGGGCTTTTGAGTAGATGAAGTAGGGCCAATATCAGATGAGCAAATACTGCCACCAAGCTAGGATTCGTTCATCTCACATATCCTCCATCTCGAAGGCTTCCTTTAGTTGCCGTTACCCTTTGCTATTGATATTCACATAGATAGTGCCAGTGGACGAAATATCCATTTCTCATTAGGATAAATGATTCAGTATATAAAAAATTACATGAAAATAAATCTGTGGTCGTATTTTGCAGCCCTAGAATAACAAGGGAATGGTGAACATGCCATCATTCGCTCTCATAGCAAGACCGACCAATCCGGCGGCTCGCTTAGTCCGCTCCGAAGCTTCAACTTCACCTCACAAATCAGCCTTCCTTCTTACCCCCTCTCTCCTCTCCCCACCAACGTCCGAGGCAGGTTTCAAGCTGTCCGCAACCCATATTGCTTTTGCTCAAGCATCGATTGACGCAACTTATTCGTCACAATGCCCGCCGCTATTCCCCCCATTACCGGCGTACGTGCCCCTTCCGTTGAAGGCCGGGTTAACCCGAGCGGGTTGACCAGGTCAATTGAGATGCTCGCAATAGTTTACTGACATGGTATATCTGTTTACAGATGCTCCGCCGTGGTCTTGTCCTGGACCTGAGCACCGCTTTCGGTAAGTTGTGATCCGGATCGAGTGGCATGATCAAACGACAATTTGGATATCGCGACCTCTCGGGAGCGACCACATGAAATATAAACACCAAGAGAAATCGCTGGGATGAGATAAACAAAGTGAGACAGTTGCTGATCAGGGTATCTCATCCACTAGGCTTCGGTACTACCTTCGGTTACCTCTGGTGGTACGGTAAGTAGATCATACCCCGGCTGCGCCAACCCCACGCGATTGATGTCTCGAAATCTAATCATATGTTCGTCCCACAGGATACCACCTCCCCCGCGTGCGTGAGCGCGATACCTACTACGCCCGCCTCGAGGCTGAGCGTGCTGCCCAGCGGGGTTAAATCGATCAACCCTGATCACCTCTCGATCGCCTCCTTTCCGCCCGTTCGGCGCCAGTTCTTTTCTTTGTCAAAGCGTTATCTAGAAAGTCGCCCCGTGATGGAAGCACATGTCTCGACATCACCTCCGGGCTTGGTTGGATCGACGGGTGTGTACGAGTGGGTGGTTTGATTTGAGATCGATTGTACATATACGCCTGTGGACAACCAACCGTTTTGATTTTGGACTGTACTCTTTCTGGTCATGGCCGTCGCAGGCCATGCTACGTAGTACCGCTCGAACGCGCAAATCGATATACTTGACCACTACGCCTGAGCCAATCGAATGAGCGAATTGGATCTATTATGTTCAAACGCTAATTACGCCAGATATATGTACGTGGAAACGCCAGCGCACCCCCCATGGGATTGCCGAACCATGTCTCCGCCATGTGTAAAGCCATAGATCATCATCCCGTACCTGCTCATCACCGTAGGGTATGGGGCGAAGTCCGGATACGGGAACCAATGGGGAAAAAAAAAACTGCAAATGTGAAGCCCTAGCTGTCGTTCACCGCAGCACTCGCTCAAATGATATGCCTCGGACGGACCCGCCGGCCATAGAGTTGCGTACGTTCTTCTTGAAGGCATCGCGAGTGGCGCGAAGATCTTCCGCGGCGTCCTTGTTGAGAGGGTCGGACGCATTTGGCTCGAGGAAAAGGAACTGTAGAATAACCAGTTAGCAAAAGTAATGACCAGTCAAAACAAATAGATCAACGGACCTGCATTCCAACAATGACAGCATTCAGATTCAACACAGGCTTCCAGTCCTCTCGTAGAATGTTTAAGCAAACGTTGCCCTCCAGGTCGATATTGGGATGGTAGATCTTCTGCGTGCATTTAACTTTGGGAGGATCATGAGGGAAGTTCTGGTTGACAGCGAAGCTAAAGTTGAAGACACCACCCTTATACATGCCCTCGTCTGGTTCGATGGTCAAGGTGAAGTTGAGGATGTCATCGGGGTTCGGGAAAGACATTTTCATTGTGCTGCCAAGTGTGAGTTCTTGGAGGTCTAGAGAGAGAAAAGGTTAGAAAGTCATATAACAATCCAGTAAGCAACCGGTGAGGGTTATACTGTCCACCACGGGAGAGTTACTCACCTCGTTGCACGCGTAATTGCGCCGCGGTGACCTTCTTCTTCTTCTTGCCTGCAGCGCCTTCAGCATTCTCAGCCTCCTGCTGCTTTTGTTTCTATACAGACTGTTAATCATAGTTCAGTGTTTCCGTAAGACCCAAATAAAGCCTACCATCGACCAGATTTTCAACATTTTGGCTGGGAGTTCACCACCCCACCTGGTGGAACGGACGGCTTTGGGGGGAGCGAAGTAGGTTTATGGCCAGGCAACCACCGTAGGGATGTCGGATAGGAGAAGAGGGACAGAAAGGAGATGCAGAGCTGTAAAGGGCGAGATCAACGGGTGACAACGGTGGCAACGGTAAGAGTGAAGGATAACCTTGTGCTTGCGGGGGTCTCAGATCAGCAATCGCCCTTTATCGCCTCTCCGCCTTCGACTTGACGTACTTGGTCTCGGGAACTCTGTACTTCTCGGGTATACATATACATCTCGTTCTCTACTCAGTATTAAAATCTCGAAGAGAAAAAAAAATAAATTGAATATGAAGTACATCATCATAGCGCTCCGAATGCGATCCCGGTGCATGGCTGGTCCGACAAAAAAAAAAGATCACAGTGACCATCAAGGGGTAAAACCGCGCAAATACCGACTGGCTGGCATTACAAAATCAAAAAGAGAACAGAATTGGGCATCTTTAGGTAGAATACAGATCACGGTATCGGAAAGAAGAAGAAGAAGAAGAAGAAGAAGAAGAAGAGAAAAATGTGTTAGGGGAATGTCATGAAAAAGGGTACACATTTGTCCTCTCCGGAAATCGAACTACCGGCGTGCGAAGCAGCACTTGATACCAGTGCGACCCAGGAACCAACAGCATCCGATGAAACGGAACAATGCCACCGCGGCGTTGGACCACAAAAGGGCCTGGAAGAAACGTGCTGTACGAGTGGTGGCGGTATTCTATGATCATGTTAGCTGGTGGTCTAATAGCAAGGTGGAGAAGAGACGGTGGAAACTCACTGAAAAGCCGAACTTATCGACAGATTCGCTGGTGATGCAGACTGCCAGGATTGCATTACTGAAGATCCAAAAGGTGACAAGTCGGGTACGGAAACTCTTGTAGGAGTCCTCCAGAGTCTTTTCGTCGTGTTCCACGGGGGCAACGAATGGGGTGAGCGCACGCTTCACGGTTGCCTCGAACTGGCTGTCGATATCCGCTTGGGGCTTGTCAATTTCTTCTATCACAGCTTCCTTACTACCCTCGTCCTTTGTAGTCGTAGCTGACGGCAATGCATCGGCCTTATCGGAACCCTTGGTACCCCATGAGACATCATGCCAGTTGCTGAAGGCATAGACGTTCAGAATGTTGATGTAGGATGACTGAACAACCATATAGGCGGGGAAGGAGGTAAACATGTGCCATGGGTCGGCGTACATGAACGAGGCAACGAAGTAAAGGCCGAATGTGGCAGCCAAGGCGATGATAATGATACCAGCACCCGTCGACCCAAAGAAAGAGTCAAGGAAGGCTTTCACGCCTTTGTCTGTAACAAAGTCCATGGGCGCGCCGCTGCTGAATGCGCGAACGACCAGATAGATCGAATCGACCACAATGTAAACCTGAATGATACCAAAGACCACGAACGAGGCGAGGTATGAGAACTTGGAACCCTTAGGTCTGTTACCGAGAGCGAGAATGAACTGCAGCAACAGGAAAGCGAGGTATCCGTACTTCACAATTGTGTTGATAATGGGCGTGGCCGTCTTGCCGAAGGGGAAAGCAGTGTTTCCATTGCTGCTGCTTGGAGTACCGACGAGGTCAATGATGACAGTGGTGGTCAGCCAGTACGAAGCCAGCGAGAACCAGGTGAGCAAAGTGTTGAAAATGTTATACAACATCTGAATGTGGAGGAAGAACATGCGAATGATGTTGTGGCCACTCTTGTACATGCGGCCAAAGTGCATCAGCGAGTAAATTCCTGCTGCGAAAGAACCGTTGAGCCAACGGCGACGCTGGGAGATAAACTCGGCAGCACCTTCGGGCACATCGGTTTCACCCTTAGAGGCTTTGACGTACGACAAGTGCCACTTGGAGCCTGCCTTAGCGACCAGCTCGAAACAGAGAATTCGATCCTCGGCCAAGAACATGTTCTTCTTGAAAATGTTCATACCCTCAATACCCTTCTTTCCAAGCTGCTTAGAAAGCGTGTGATCGCCATGGAAATATTGTTCAAGGGGGCGTCCCATGATTGCACGGAATCGATAGGCCGAGAATGCACCGGGCAAGACACTAACGTAACCGAATGAACTCTCAAGAGGTTTGTCCAAGATGTTACTGATCTTGTACTCGAAGTTCTGGGCAGCCACGAGAGGGTTAATCAAGTTCCGCCATCCCTTACCCAACATAGCGTGGATTTCACCACAGGCACCGCCAAGATCCTTGTCGTTATAGAATGCCTCCCAGAGGTATAACAAGGACTTAGGGCCAGGTTTGGTACCGGCATCGAGAAGGATGCAGACCTCGGGGTTCAAAATGCGACCAAAAGCGTTGAAGAGCCAACGATGCGAATTAATCTTCTTGCTGTTCTTTTGTTTCAAGCAGAACATCATTTGCACTGGTGGTAGTGTGCTTGGGCCATCGTCCGTGGGCCGGATGAGTTGCTGACTTGGCGTGACCGAAAGCTGAGTCGTATACTCGAACTAGAATACTCCGTTAGCGCTCATCTCCTCTGGAACCCCATCTGGCCATCCCAACTTACAATGTGCGCCAAAGTCTCCTTGCCGTCAACATCACGCTTCATGACACCATCCTGGTAGATACCGACAGTCGCAAGAACGTCAAGGGTATCCTTGTCGCAAGGGTCAATACCGTCAAACACCAGCGCCACGACAATCTTCTGCCATGCAGGTCCACCCTTGTTCCAGAACTCGGATTTTTTCAGATTGACAATGTCGCGAATGTTCTGCATTACACCGTGCAAGGTGCGGGCCGTGAGGTTCTTATCCTCGTTGTAGTAGGTAATCGCAATGAGCAGCTCCGTATGACGGTTGTACATTGCGGGTCGTAGGTTGTAACCATTGTGGAGGGTAAATTCGTTCGGATCACAAGTGGCCGCAGTGTCTATGAAGAGGCAAGGCTCATTAGTTTTTCTCTTAGAGCCGTATGTTCGTCTGTTCCACACGTACATCGCATATGGGTGAACTCCTCGCTTCCACCTTCCACATCATTGCGGTATTTGGCTTGGATGGCATTCTGGATAGCACTGGGCACGGGGTAGTCGACACTCAGGACGGAACCCTGCACTAGCTTGACCTTCCTGGTAGCATATCTGCGCAAGCCACCACCGCCACCGCCAGGGGCGCCCCCGGGGGCCTGTCGCTGGCGCCAAGCCTCAGTAGATGAGGTCTCGCTGCGGGCATAGGGCGATGCAACTCGGCCGGGGACTCCAAAGGCTGCCGCAGTAGTTTCCTCCTGGCCAGAGTAGACAGCGCTAGTTTCATATGGGTCATGGTATGAAGGGGCGCTGTCCGCTGCATAGGTCTCTGTCAAGCTGTACCCAGAAGCTCGACGTTGGGGAGAGGCACCGCGCGAGTGGGGGTCGTCAAAGGGAGTCGCAAATGGACCCTGCTGTTGGGACAATAATCCACGGGCTGCATCCTCATCCTCGCGATACTAAGAGCAAAAAAAAAAAACACACGGTCAGCTCTAGGGACTAGTTCACCGCCTCTCCACACACATACCTGTGAAGGTGGCACATCCTGCAGATGATGACTCTCGTCATAGCTCGGTGAGTGCGAGCCAGAGCCGTGGTAGGCCATGGTGTCGCAAAGGTCAAAATTTCAAAAAGGGATGTTTCAAAGCTGACAAGAGAGGGGTATCTGTTCAAGCAGGGCGCATTTATGAACAATTATCGAAGCCGCCGGGGCTAGGGGAAGAAAGTCTTTTTTTTTCTTTCAGAGAATATTGCGAATGTTTTGAATCAAGGGTCAAAGAGAAAAGGAAAAGAGAAGGGGGGCGGGAAAGGGTCAAAAAAAAGGGAGACCGTGAGACTGGAAAGGTCAAAAATAGACTGTCTTCTTTCTACTAGCCCCGTCCTGGTTTAGTTTCCCCTTTATCTTATTGTTTTATTTTATTTTATTATTATTTGGGGGGTTTCTTTTTCATTTTGACTAGTAGTTATTTATATTCTACTCCATACATAGTAGTTTATAACCTATTATTCTATATCATCTATCACGTACATAGTAAATATCATACATACTCCATCCCTACTTGGTAGGTGAAAACAATAGACCGACCTCGGGATGCCCCCGAGACCCTGTCGAAGACCCTGACTGGTTGACATGAGATGCTAGGAATTCCTACCTTTTTTTTCTTTTCTTTTTTCTTTTTGACTTTTGTGATTCGTTCACTTCCATTCTATTATATATATTGCATTTACTTGAATGTTTTGGGTAAGTTCTCCAGTTCCTTCATATGAACCGTACGGAGTACCTAGGTACATATATATGGAGACTGAAACACCCGAACCTAATGCGCTGGCTCCACTGGTGAAACATTCCCAGGTTTGGTGAATAGACCCCTCGTATAAGAGTTCAATTCGGTTGACAACATAGATATACAAGATGAAGGATTCATTCCCACATTCTTAAGAGCACAACAATCCCATTTTAAAAGGCTTAAAACACTTAGGGGGAAGTGGTATGCCGGACCCCACTATTGGTGTTTGAATGCCAATACATTGATGTATAGCAGGTCCTCGTCTAAAATTTCCCATTTGAATTTTCCATTTGCCCCTAAATTCTGCTCTTATCTATATAAATTTTTCTATTTGGTTATTCTATCCTTCTATCTACTCCGTACTCTGTGTGAAGTTGTATACTCCCAGGTCACCTGACCCTAGATAATTTTAGACATTTAGACATTACCTATGGACCCCAAGGGTCTAGCGTATATTTTGCCCCAGTGTCAAGTCCAGTGCCAAGTCCAATGCCAAGTCGGTTAGCCTATTAAATATCTAAATGTATTATTGTTAAACTTGAACTAAGTTTGAAGGCTGTGCTGATGTTCAGCTTCGTATTCATGGTATATAATATTATATGACCCAAAGTGCCAACCTTGGAAGACCCTTCTTTAGAAACCCCGTTAATCCTCAAGGGGGTTTGACAGTAGTTAGTCTATAGACGGTCCCCTT